CCCCACTGGGGTCTGTGTATAACACGCCCTACTGGGGGGGGGGGGGGCTATTCATAGCCCCCCCTCCTAACTCCGAAACTACTGGGCCGATCGTCAAAATTCAAACGGCGTCTGATAGCCCCGGAAAAACTGTCGAGCGAAACCTAATTTCATTGACCTCGAGGTCACCGATGACGTCACAGGTCAGGTCAAAGTAAAAATTATTAGCACTTTGGCTTGTTCACATTTTGGGCTCTGGCCGCCGTCTTACAAGTCAGATCAGGCTCATTTTTGGTTTCCACACTCGTGAACAGATGCTCTAGATACCTTGAGGGTACCAAACTTGTACTTTGATTTTCAGGTCAAGGTCAGGTCATCACAGGTCACGAAAATATTATATCATACATCGGTCACGTGACACATGTTTTATGGTCCATTTAGGCCATAGATTTCGAATTTGATGTCGTCTGTGTCATTCGAGGTCATTTTGAGTCGAATTTAGCTTAGGTCAGGTCACTTTCAGGTCAAAAAAGGTCAAATTTTGAAGTTAAAATTTTTCAACAAAAAAGGTGTCTATTGGATGCAGTTTGAGCTCAGGAACACGATGGTGCCATTTATATTGGTGTACGATGTCAAATACGTACCGAAAAAGTGATTTGAAAAATTAATAATTGTGAATTTTTTGCAATAATGCGTATAACTTGGCCATTTTTGAAGATATTTAGCTAAAACTTGCTAGAGTTAGTCATAATCATGCGTTCTGTCACATATATTCCGGTTTTTTCGAAAAGTCAAAAACTTTTTGAAAAAAAAATATAAAAATATAAATTTTGAATATTATTATATAAAATTTTCGAAATTTTCAAAATTTTGAAAATCCGAGATAGCAGTTTGATAGCGCGGTCAATTCTGAGTCCTTTCATGCAAAGAAATTGGATCTAGCTTAAAAACTGAGCTCTTGGGAGCGATTGCCGTGGTTCAATGTTTTGCGTCGAAATCGGACGAACATGACGTCACTCTGACGTCATTTCCGGCCGAGCTATGGTAGCTACGAAGTTCAAATTTTGACACAAGAAGTCAAATTGATGCAGCCGAAGGTACTGAAAATTTGGCGTCGATACGTTAAGCGGTTTGGAAGTTATTGCAGAAAAACGGGAGGGGGGGGGGGGCTATAAATAGCCCCCCCCAGTGGGGCGCGGGTTAAGTGGTTTACAATTCTTTCTCCAATATAGCATCCTGTACTACACCTATTGAGCAGTGAACTCAGGTCATCCATATAGACGCTGAAGAGATATGGGGACAGACATAGGCGGCGGAACGATTTGAGACAAGGGGGGGCACCATGGCTCAAGGAGCCAAACCTAGGGTACCCCCAAATCCTGTTTTCTCATCGGATTTAGGCCACTTATTTTTCGTCACAGCCCTGACACGATGATTTTTTTTTAATTTTATTTTTTACTAAACGAAAATGGCAGTTCACCCCCGTATGCAGGGGTGTAATTTTATATCTCTTTGTGGGGGCATATGCACCCACAATCCTGAATTATGTATGCCCACACAATGATGAAAATGCACCCACAAGTCTTTTACAAGGCTGCAAGCGTCCTTTCGAGAGTACGGTGCCCTTCGCATGCTCTAACGGCGTCCTCCTGACCGTCTCGCGTTCATGGATAATATAGCGTTTTTAATCACTCGGCGCCCTTCTGGGAGAATGGCGCACTTTTGACAGCACCGCGCCATTCTCATGGTCTAACGGCGCCCTCCTGACCGTCTCGCGTCCTTAGGTCTCTGTTCACCGTGCATCCCTCGACTGTTCGGCGCCCTTCTGGCCTCTCAGCGCCCCTGAACCACATATAGCGTTTTCAATCACTCGGCACCCTTTTACGAGAATGGCGCCCTTTTCATGATCTCAATGCGCCCTGGTAACCATCTGGCGTCCCCACGTCCCCACCAACGTAGCACTACTGACTGTGCGGCGCCCTTCTGGCCTCTTAGCGCCCCTGGACCACATAGCGTTTTCAATCACTCGGCGCCCTCCCAAGAGAATGGCGCCCTTTTCATCGTCTCACGGCGCCCTCGTAAGTCGTAACCGTCTGGTGCCTCCACATTTGGTGCCCCTCCTACTGGATGGCGCCCTCTACAGCTTTTTACGTCCTTCCGGTCAGTTTCCACTTTTAAGCGTGTATTTGCTTAGTCAGACACGTCACTTGAAGCGCCATTCGGCTAGCAATGTTATCAAATTCGGTGTTAATTTAGGCTCCCACATAAAGAATATCTATCGCGCCCCAAAACGGCCTGGCGCCGGGCGCCCCTACAGCTGGGCACCCACAATCATTTTAGGAAAATTACACCCCTGCCCGTATGTGTGGTTAACTTTAAGCTGATCCCCAAGTACCTATGTGTTTGTCTCTTCCTTATTCTCGTTTGATAAATTCCATTAATCCTACATGTAACAAATTACCAAGAAGCCATCGCATGGTACTAATCAGTGGCGAATCCCAGGGTGGAGGTCACATGGGTCATGACTTAGGGCCTGGGGTCACCACATGCCTGCCAGGAGCACCACAGGCCTGACAGCCGACAGGGGCACCGCAGGCCCGCCAGGGGTACCATAGGCCTAGCAGGGGCACCACGGGCCTGTCAGTGGCACCACAGGCCTGTCAGGAGCACCATCGGCCTAGCAAAAGCACTACAGGTCTTCCAGGGGCACCACAGACCTGCCAGGGGCACCAGAGGCCTGCCAGGGGCACTATCGGATTCGCAGGGGAACCACCGGCCTCGCAAGGGCACCATGGGCCTGTCAAGGGCACCACAAGCCTGTCGTTGGCAATTTAGGATTGTCAGAGGCACCACAAACCTGTCAAGGGCACCTGCGTTCTAACAGGGGCACCACAAACCTGCCAAGGCCCAGGGACACCACAGGCTTAGCAAGGACACCACAGGCCTGTCAGGGCCCATGGGCACCTAAGTCATGTCAGGGCCCACCGTAGGCTTGTCAGGGGGCAGGGTAGGTAGGTACCACAGTCTTTCCAGGGGCATCAGCGGCCTAGCAGGTGCAGGGGCACCAGTCATCACATGACTAACCAAAAATAAAGAAAATAAAAAAACTGAAAATAGGGCACCACCAAAATTAAGTGGCCGAAATCCGTTGAGGTTTTAATTTTGGGCATAGGTAGGGGCACCACTTCGATTCATGGCCCTCCCCTTGGAGTTTTCCCCGAATCTGCCCCTAGTACTAATACATCAAATTTAAGGGGGGCACCTTGCTATTGGTGCCCCCCTTGCAGAATTCAAGGGGGGGCACGGTGCCCCGGTGCCCCCCCCGTTCCGCCGCCTATGGGGACAGAATCCCTCCCTGCCTTACGCCATTTGACACTCCAAAGAACTCTGAATATGTGGATCCCCATCTCACACACATCTTTTGACTAGTATACCAAAAAGACAATATTCTAACTAAACATGCTGGTACTCCCCTGCGGTTCAGCTTATCAAAGAGTAGACTGTGGTTTATTCTGTCAAAACCTTAACTGGCATCAAGGAAGCATAAGTGCACATTGCCCTTCATAGATCTATACATACTCACAACTTCCTTTAGAGCATATATACATTGATCTGTTCCCATACCCTTTTTATAAGCAAATTGATTATCTTGAGTACCTAAGAAAGGTTTTAACTTTTTGAGCAAAATGATCTCATACACCTTACTGATGATACTGGCTAATGCTACTGGCCTGTAGTTATTCATCGAACTGATGGAACCAGCCTTATTCTTTATCACAGGGACTAGAACTACTTTCATCAAAGAATCTGGCAACTTTCCATGAACCATGCAGGCTGTGAAACACAGACTCAGTAGAGGTACCTGTCCTGTCTACCTGTCCAGTAGAGGTACCTGATAGACCTGTCTACGTGCTTTGTCTCTGGACCGACGCACATGGCCGTGGCAGCATGCGCCTCGTGATCCAGACATGCCGGGTGGCCCGAACAATGTCTAATGAGCAGTTGCCAGTTAATGTTGAGCTCAGCAGTGATACCTAGCCCGGCCCCAGTCTGTGCCCGGGAACATGTCTCCTTGTCAGTCTGTGTCTGTCGTAGTTGTCCTCTCCGTGTCGGTGCTGCGACTCCGGAGTTCAACACCCACGTGCTGAGTCGTGTCGCCCGAGTCGACTCTTGTTTGTCCGGATGTTGTCCGGGAACTCCTCTCGGGAAAACAGGCGCGGCAGGCGCGAGGTGTGCCATTGTCGGCGTCACAGTGTCTGCCCGCGCTAACTGCCCGGCCGGGACCCCCACCACAGGGGAGGGGTCCCCCGCTCCGCCTGTGGTGCCACCCCGCCTCAGCGTCGCCTGACTGTGACGTGTCCCCGTCTGGGGCCGCGGTGTACCGGTCAAGGATGCCTATTACATAGTTGAGGCTACTGTGCAGCCAACTGAAATTGAGAGCGCGCTGTCTGGAGGTGGCTGTCGCTGAACTTGTTGCCGCTCAATTGCAGCCGAGACGTATGGCCGGCGTGGTGCAGTTTGGCAGCCCGGGAGGGCGGGGGTGGTTTGTCTTTGTTCGGGTCCCGTGATCAACGCTGGCGGCTTTTGCGCGCTACTGTAGATAGATAGGTTGGAGCAGCGAGTACGTGCCGTATTGCGCACAGCTGAGAGGAAAACGACGGAATTATGTGCTGGGTGGCAAGGATGTTATTAGGATTGTTCATACATGGGGAAAATCCAAAGCCGTGTAATCTTAGGATGAGTCTTGCACTGTTCTTCTGCCAACTCATATTAGTGTGGTATGCTCAAAGAGATGTTGCTAGATATAACTGTAACTCACGCGAAGCATGTAAAGCTTTCGTGTTATGAATACCCAGTTTTCGTGAAAACGAATGATTTTCCCTGTTTAGCGCGTTCTCAGTAAGTTCAATCATCTCATTTATAAAAAGTTTCGTATGTGTTAGATATGACTGTGAGAATCCACGCCGCCGCGAGGGGTGGATCATCTAGCTTTAACTAACATCCCCCGTTCTCTCCCTCAGAAAAACGCCTCGGCCGGCCCGCCGATGCTCATCAACACCGGCCAGTCGGACTTCCGCAAGATCGGCGTCATCGAGCGGTACGATGGCTCACGGCTGCTGCCCTTCTGGAACACGCGTCAGTGCAACATGATCAACGGCAGCGACGGCACCGTGTACCCGCCGGGTGCCAACGAGTCGACCATCGTGTACCTGTTCGCGCGCGACATCTGCCGCAGCATGGCGCTCCACTTTGAGAAGGAGGTGCTGCACAGCGGCGTCCGCGCGCTCCGCTTCACGCCGCCCGAGAATGTGTTCGACAGTGTGGACACGAACCCGGAGAACATGTGCTACTGCGTCGGCGGACCGCCCTGCGCGCCCAAGGGACTCTTCAATATCTCCGTCTGCCAGTATGGTGAGTAGGGTGGGGGAGTTTGGTGGCAAAGTTTTGTGCTTCTTGATCGATGCTCATAAGTTTTAAATGCACGTTAGTGACTGCTGTGTCTGTGTTGATGGTTTGAAATGCAGGCTGAAGGGTGACAGCGGCGTCCGTAGTAAACTGACATTCGTCGCGTATTTAATAATTTGTGGCACGTTTGTTCAGTTCAATGCGATTCGAAATCTCTGGAATATCTACTGTAAGCTCGCTGATGTCTCGGCGTTTATCCCATTAAAGACGACTAAGCCTCTCCGCCGTCCGAGTTCTAATCTCGTAACGTGTCTGACCCGTCCCTGTGGTTATGTAATTACAGGTTCGCCAACGTTTATATCATTCCCGCACTTCTACCTCGCCGATCCGTCCATCGTCAACAAGGTGGACGGCCTGATGCCCAGCAAGGACAAGCATCAGTTCTTCGTGGATATTGTGCCGGTAAGTCTCGCGTAACGTCCGTCTCTCCAGCTGCCTTCAGAATGTCGAGCTACCCAGGGCCAACGTTCGACCGCTAAATCATGTTTCCCTGTCCCCAACTGGTTCCCTAACTCTTATCAAACTGTCATCAAACGCACGGAAGTGGAGCAGGGTGTCAACCCCAGTGTCTCCTCCTTAAACGACCGACCAGTTTCGGGCTGGTTCAGGTGGCTTTCACGCACATAAAACTGGTTCTGGAGGAGTCGCCACTCGGCACGACTTTGCTCGATAGGAACGTTTTTGGCCCGTGCGCGGCGTGTCTTGTTTTTAGGAGTGTGGCTAGTTTTTTTGGTGTCGTCTTCCGTCGCCAGACATCTGCGACAAGTGCATTAATTGATACATGACTCGAGAATTTTATTCATATCAACTGGAGCATTTAATTGCATGCGAATACGTTTACGATTGTCAAAAAAAAAAAAATGTTGGAATAGTTCAGCAAGGATGATGTTGAGCAATAAGCAGGTCGCCGTTCCTCAGTACCATTTCAAAGTCGGTCTGGGGGTCACCTATGCTTCCCCTGGTTTCGATCGCTCCCCGACCGCTCGCCTTGCTGACGGTTGTTTTGTGTTTCAGCGTGTGGGTGTCTCGATGAAGGCCAAGATTCGTGTGCAGATCAACACGCAGATCGGCCCGGTGCCCGACATTGAGTACACCGAGAACCTGCCCGACATGTTCTACCCGGTCCTCTGGATGGAGGCGGTGAGTGGACAACTCGTGGCGGTGGAGGGATAGCGGGGAGATGGATAACTCCTGTAGGGATAACGGGGAGATGGACAACTCGTGGAAGGATAGCGGGGAGATGGATAACTCGGGGAGCGATAACTGGGAGAGGGATAACTCGTGGAGGGATAACGGGGAGATTGATAACTCGTGGAGAGCTAGCGGGGAAATGGAACTTGTAACTCATGGGTCGAGCTGATCCGAGCTGGGTCGAGCTAAGTCAGATGTGCGAGCTGCTGTGTGGCCACTGGGAACGACTTGCTGTCTGGGATGTAGTAAGCGGCTCACGCGGCCAGTCTTCGTGCCGGTCTGGATGTGCCGTGACGGCGACTGTTGCGGCGCATGGTCGGCCGGCCGCGCCTGTCGGGATGTGTTCATTCCCGGGTCATACTGGGCCCCTGAAGGTCGAATCACACAGGCCTGTACTGTGTCGTGGGAAAGTCAGTTAGTGGCCGTTGTGTTCAGGTGATCATTTAGGCTGATTTCACACGGTGTTGTAGCGGGACCTTACCGGAGCGATGGGGGAGTGTTGGATAGTGCAGTGTGTGCTTGGAAAACTAGCCAACTGTTGCCACTCTTAGAATGGCTACTTTGAATGCGATCTCTGGGAAGCCACGTTCTGGGAATCTGCTTGAGCCGAAAATCGGGATGTGATTTGATGTGATCTATGTTCCTTCACGGAACATAAAACGTACATTCGTCTGGCCTTTGTTTGCATTGTTTTTTTTTTCTCCCCCGTCGCATCTAACCCCTCCCCTCTCCCCGCCAGGGCGTGGACGAGCTGCCGGACGAGACGGTGGCCATGGTGAAACAGGCCACCGACACGCCCGAGGTGGCGCGCACTACCATGACGGCTGTCACCTTCGTGCTCGGCGCCGTGCTCGTGCTGATCGGCGCCACCGTCTGCCTGACGCGCATGCGACAGTCGCGGCGCGCCACACTCAACTCGGCGCCCAACGGCAAACCGGTGGAGATGGCCGACGTCAACCCGACCAACGGCAGTGCCGGCAACGGCGCCGCCAAGCTGGCCGAGGCCGAGGCGCCGCCCTCCGTATGAGGACGCGCCGTGCTCTCTTCCACAAACCGGGCCTTCGTCGGCGACGACGGCGTCTGCGACGGCGACCGGTCGGCGGCCGCGACGCCGGCGACGGTGACGCCGTCTCCGCTGGCGTCGCCGCTGCGGTGTCGGGTGTACGAGATCGCCAAGCACCGCGCCAGTCTGGAGCCGAGCGTGGGCTCGGCGTCGGTGACGCTGCCGCCGACGCCGCGGCCGGCCTCGTCGGCGTCCGTCTCGGCGCCGCTCCGCTGCCGGGTGTACGAGGTGGCCAAGTACCGCGCCCAGCCGATGCGCCCTGCGCCGCCCGCCGAGGGCGGTCCGCCGGCGCACGCCGCCACCGGCACGTCGTGATATTAATCTATTTTTAATATCGACGAAATGAGTGCCTTGGATTTTGAAGCGTGTACAAGAGTCTCGTCGAGGCGCCACAGGTCACAAGTACGACGCTCGTGGCGCCGCGCGCGCTCGCGCCGCGGCCGGAAGAGAAGAGAGCACGGACTCGGGTGTTGTTGGTGTGAGTGTGGCCTCCGGTGGCGGCGACGGGCGGCGGCGGACACGGGACGCTCTGAGAGACCGGCGGGGTCCGCGGCGGTCGGTGTGTGTAGGTGTGTGAGTGCTCTGTGAGTCTGTGCGGTGTGGGGACCGTGTGCCGCTGAGGACCCCGCTGACCGCCGCCCCGTCCGCCCCCTCCCGCCGCCGCGCCGCTCTGTACTGTTCCATCTGGTGGCGGCCACTCCACTAACGGTATCCGGGTCTGTGCATGCCATCTCTGATCTCTCCACACGAGAACTGCTCAAACGTCGCGCGTACGTCGGCCTAGGATGTAGCGCTGTGGGAACGGCTGGTGTCAACTGTAATCGACGCTTCTGCTTCATTTTCAGTCAACGAAGTTCCTCAGGAGATGCGAATTCTGGATCGGTCTTAACTACTTACTTCACACCTTTCGGGTTTATCTACATTAATTACCTATCTCCGTTCTAAAGCTTCTATTTTTGATGTTTGCGACATCCAAGATGTCACCACTTCAGATGCCTGATGTGTTCTCCTTTCAGTGAGTAGGGACGCTCACTCCCATTTGCATTTTGTCACAATCTTGTGGTACGGTGAGAGGCATCAGTGTAACGGTGGCCTTCGCTCGAAACAAGTGTCTAGTTTTTATAGCGCGGGCCATGACTGTATATTTACATCATCATTATTGTGTTTACTGTGCTGCTGTGTAATTGTACAATGTACATTCCATTCGTATCAACAGCGAATAAACCGTGAACCTGCCAGCGTGCTTGTTCCTGTCGGTAAACGCATCCCTTACGCAGTCTTGTATCTCACGAGTTACCTCCATTATGCAATGTAAGGAATGATCACCCAAGTCCGTTGGAGACTGACTTCATTTCGTCACATTTTCTTAGAAATGCTGAGCGCGTTTATGCAAATCATAGCATGCAGAGCAACGAACATACCGGAAAAGTTGCTGACTAGCCTTCCGGCTGATCGACACCGACATGGAACGTTTTTTTGGTGATTCCTCATTCCGCTAGCACGATCCAATCGCTTTCATTCAACCATGGACGTCTGATGCAGATGGGCATCACATTATTCACGGTTATTGCATATGATGCTGGCTGCTGCCCGGGAAGGGTACGCCCAGCTGAGACTGAGCCCCAGACTGGAGTTTTCTTCGAGCGCTGCGGCCGGCTGACCAGCCGGGTGGTCCCAGGACTGAGATTCCAAATACCCGGGTCAGCACGTCAGTCTCGGCTGGATCAGCGGGCGAGTTCTCAGAGCTGGGAGTCGGTACGGCTCGCTCGGCCGAGTTCGCAAACGTCCTGTCAAGCCGACAAGGATGTGTTGCCATAACGATTGGATGGAAAATCAGCTTTGCGAAGCTACAACATCGGTCACAGCAATGTATGTATTGCCGATTATTAGTTATCACAGAAACAGGCAGGCACTGGTCAAAATTAATAATAACAGGAAATATACAGAATGTCGGCGGTACAGAATACCTCATTGCACGCACAGTACAGAATCAGTAGACAATCCGTCAAGAGGATGGGCAACAGTCATCACTGATGTTACCTTTGTCATCATGCGGTAATATCACACACGGATAACAACTGCAAAAAAACAATCAAAAGCACAGTGACATTGACCTATAATAAGTACACAGTGATGTCTTGTCCCAGTTGAAAAATAACAGCGGTCACGCGTCACCCGATCTTACTCAGCAACAACGATTAGCCCAAACGAAATGAGGACTATCCCTTGGCGGAAGTTGGCGGAAAAGTCATCAATGTTGACTTGAGTCGATCTGAACTCAGTCGAAGTAGTCCTCAATATCGACATCTGGCGAGAGCAGGTCATCCCCCAGGTGGCTGACGTCCATCTGGGAGAGGATCAGGTTCTCGAACGTTTCCTCCAGGTCCGTGTCGCCCAGTAGGAGAGCGCCCTGCACCTTCCCATCACGCAGAACCACCTTGATAAACTCCACACCTGGTGAGCGAGAGGGAGCCGTTACCGACGCGTTCTACAGATGGCGATTAGATAGAGCCGCGGAATACACAGGAATGTTTCTGACGTGCAGCGAGCAAGTGGAGCACGCCAGACTAATGCATGGTAAATTACCCCGACCCAGCGAGCTGAACATATGCGACATGACAGTCGGGCGATGCACGACTTTAACAACTGAACACGGTATAAACACTAACTAATTCAAGATAAATAAGCGATAATGCTGTCACCTGGCGTCATCCTGATGAGCGCCGTGTAGTCCGTTCCCAGCCGCTGTCCGTTGAACAGCCCGAGTAGGATCAACTTGTGGCCCAGCAGCCGGGTGACGTGGGCGAACATCTCGAAACAGAAGTCCTGCAGCAGCGGCACGCCCAGCCGGTCGGCGGACATACATTTGGCCGCGTACAGTCCCATCTGACGCGCCTGGCTCCACAGACGCATCTGGGGAAGGGAGGGGTTAGGGGACGTCAGAGAGTCGACGGAGGAGCGGTATGGGTACGGGAGCACCATTCTTTTCACCACTGTACTGCAGTAAGATGCATTTTGCCTCTTATGTGGCAGAACTAAAAAAAAAAAAATGGGATTCTTGAGTGGGAACTGAAAGGTATGTAGAGATTGGACAGCATGGCAGTAGACCACTATCACTAACCTGCAACCAGTACGATAACCCACCTGGACCCAGTGGCCAGTGCTCCCCATCTGGAACCAAAGTGGCAACACACGGGGAACCAGTGCGGTAACCCACCTGGAACCAGTGCGGCGCCAGCTCCCAGTCAGGCGAGCAGGCGTCCCCGGCGGCGTACACGTCCGTCTCATGTGTCCGCATGTGGTCGTCCACCAGAATACCGCCGTCCGCGGCTAGCCGGAGCGACGTGCCTGCCGCGAGACCCGCACAACGAGCGTCAGTCAGTATCAGTCAGTCCTGGTCAGGCGACCAGGACTGACTGATAGAACAGTTAGGGGAGTCAAAACATGCAGGCATTTGGATATACCAAAATAGAGGATCAATATGCGTAGTGCGTACGGCTTCGGGTGATCGACAATAAAGCTTGTGTGGCTTACGTCATGCGGTTTCATAAGAACTTAACTAAGGCTGGTATCAGCAGGAAGGAGTTATGTAAAACGATTATACACTTAATTACGTAACCAAAAGGAAATTACCACTTCGCAGGTTATTCAACCCATGAGATCGGGCATCAGGCCAGCTCACCTCCTAAGTCACACTTTAAATGCTTATCTGATGTTGCATAGCCTTTACAGCAGGCCGGCATAGCTTAGCATATTTGTGCATCTATGTACAGGTACGCTTTCAGCATTTCAAAGAAATACAACAGGGAGCACGGAGCACCAAAACGAAATTACCTGCAATATGCTTACGCCACAGACTCACCACGTTTTTGCTAGAGGCCGGATCACATGTGCCAAGCGCTTTGCAAAATAGGCTCGACACTCATATTACGGCACAAGCAACACGTCACTCGTCTGATAATGGAGACTGATCAGCTGTGGTAACTCTATGAAACTCGCCACCCGTCCGACCGGCCACTCGTCGCAGTTCCGACCGCAGGTCCACCACTGACCTTCTGTGAAGGGCTCTGTGTTGGGCAGCACACCGGTGGCCGACACGATAAAGTCACAGCCGATCGTCTCGCCACTCGTGAGCTCCGCATAGACTGGCCACTGTTCTGCAGAGACGGCACATAGCGTATTCATAACAGCGGTTCAGCTGCTCGACTCGTAAATTGAGCATCAGCAGATGGCATCGAAAGTGGCAAAAGGTGTCGAAGTTAGAGCAAACAAAAGGATGACAGAACAGGACAATGTTTGGGCCGGCCCTGGACACGACATCTTTCTTTAAAAATGATGTCTTATTCAGTATTCTGTGCATATTATGACATCGTGCAAAAGAGCTACTCATAGCGGACCGCTCATATCAGTTACCTGAGTCGTTCGGGTCATTCGGCCGGTCCACCAGTCGCCTCAGCTCCGTTTTATACTTCACAGTGACCCTGCCTTTGCCGGCTCCGCGGGCCTGTAGTCGCTGCAGCCAGTCTGGACCCAGAGCGCTACCCGGCACTGAGGGGTCGCCCTGGCCTCCCTCAGACGACGGCGGGTCTGCGGACAGAGGCGGCTATGTGTTACAAACAGCGCGGATTACTGGATTAGAGATAAAACGCCTCCCCAATGGCTACGCCTCGTCAGAGTGGACAAGAATCAAGCATATGTTCATGGCTCAGCTTATTCAATGCTTATGCATGAATCCATTTGTCCGTAAGCTACTGATTTGGCCCGCTGGAAGCATTCCCCATATGGCATCGAAGGAGCCACGTCAGCGAGACCTACCGGACGCGTGGTAGCGCCATCTTTTGGAGGGCGGCGCCGGAACGGCGACAGTGGCGTCCGCTGCGGCCGGCTGCTGGTCGCGGCTCTCCAGTCGGGGCAGCAGAAACTCGGCGGCACCCGGGTCGACGAATGTGGCCGAGATGGAGCCGTCCCGGATCACCCAGGTCACGTCCACGTCCTTCAGAGTGAAACTGAGCACAGAGGGGGTCGGCGGTCAGTGGATCAGAAAGATCGGAAAATGAAGATCAGATCGTGAGGAACAACGGCTTCTAAACTCATGGAACGAAAACACAAGGCCGCACATGGGCGACTAAGCCACAATAACAGAAGAAGCACTGCTTAGAGTCATTTCAAATTCATAACAAACCAATAAGAGGATCACGTCTCCCCATCCCCGTTCCGGTACCCACACGAGTTCGGAGGCGATGCCGCCGTTGCCGACGATGAGCACGCGCCGCGCCGGGCCGAGTCGCCGCACCAGCTCGTCCACTGAGTGGCCGTCTCTGATCCCGATCACTGCCGGGTGGTCGGGAAGCGGCAGCCGCGGCCGGCCGCCGGTACAGATACACAGCCGGCCGTACCGGACCGAGCTGCCGTCTGAGAGGTGCAGCACCTGGACACAGGGGAGGGGTCAGTCAGGGGGAATGGAGTGTGGAGTGATCAATAAGAGTGTTTAGTGGCATTTATTTCAGTCTACCTTATCTTTGGCATCCAGTCTTGTTGCGGTAGCCTGCTTCAGCCTCAGGCCAGGACAGAGATCAGTCAGCTGGTGGCCACTGACTTCCTGCACCTGCAGTTCATGAGCCAGCCGAGTCACCTGCACGGCAGTGGTCTGCAGCACCATGCTACCCGCAGACACAAGCACAATGTCTTCAGATGGCTCCTCAAATGACAGCTGAAAAATTGCATAGTATTGTTAGCCACAACCACAAAAATAGAAATGCTAAATGATACATTGTTAAAGGCAATAGCTTTAGACTTAACAATATATTTAGAGTAAAGGTCAACGTCACCCTGTTTGGCCATGGGCTAAAAAGAACATAAAATAACGTACCTGCTGAGCACAAGATACCCCTGCTATCCCTCCACCAACAATCAAGTATGTGCACGTATCTGTTGTCATGTTTTGAGGTATATTTAAGCGTCTTGTCTTGATCGGCACTTCTCACTGTATGTATCAACTAAATTGATTAATTTTTTAGACACTTCTCACTGTATCAACTAAAAGTGATTGATTTGAATTTTCTTGTAACTTGAACTACATCAGTTATTAAGCAATTTCAGCATCGAATGCGTACAGCATATGAGTACTGATATCATACAGTGCAATCATCACAATGGCAATCAATACACTTTGGAAAATTTATTCTCTATTGTATGGGGCGTATGGGGAACGTGGGGAACAATGTGTACGTATGGGTCATCAGCACTTCAGGTGATAAGGGTCATTTACCCATGAGAAATCTGAGATTTTCAACTTTATGAGCAATGCCATGTAAAGGTCTATTCCACTGAACTCTATAATGGTCTATTCTATTTGAAACTGGTGCGCCATATCTGTTTCCGCTGAATCTTTTATAGGCGCTGAGCTATAAAAGATTCAGCGGTATGTATATATGGGCGAGGAGTTACATGTGCTGGCGAGTGGGTTGCATTTCGGGCGAGTGGGTTGCATTTCGGTAAATGGTTGGTAAGCATAATCCTTTCCTTCCCATCCCGCAAATAATCTCACCGATAATCTGTGAGGAACGTCATTTACCAGTCCATTTCTCTCGGGATCTCCTTCCTGAAAGCGAGAGAAGCTGTCGGACTCGGCACAGCAAACTGAGGCAATTGTGGCGCGGCACATGAGGATTGTATTGCATGTGTTAAGTGGGAGAAGGAAGACGCCTACCTATCATTCAAGGTAAAGGTGTAAAAAAAAACCCTGTATATAACAGCACGTGTCTGTGTGCATGCAGGCGCCTTGCAAGCTGATGTGGGTGTGAGGTGGATGTGCATCGGGCCTCGGAGCATGCTGCATGCGAATTGCTAGGCAAGTTGCTTGCGGGCTTGGCTTGAGGAAAAATCGGGGCTGTGAACATAGCTTTGAATCTTGATCTTGATTATACACACAACTATAAACACGAAATGGGGCCAGGAATCTCACCGACAAATAGCAGGAAAACACCTACAACAAGACAGATCGCGGACAAAGGGAAAGGTAAGAGAGATGCAGAGAGGGCGGAGAAGGGAAAAATGGCCAGGGCAGAAGACAAAGAAAGACGAGTAGTAATGAGCAAGAAAATGGAAACAGAGAAAGCCATTGGAAAACTAGACAACAGTGTCTTTGAGGCTTTTGAACCAGCACACAGATCATCAGTTGACCTGAGTAAGGAGGCAATATGCAAGGGAGGGCCTGGGCACAAATGTGGTCTTCCAGTTGGCTACGAAGATGAGGGAGTGGAATGTGACCTTTGTCATCGTTGGTTCCACGCAGCATGTCAGGAGATACATACGGAAGCATACAAAGCACTCCAGGAACACCCTGACACACTGGCATGGATGTGCAAAGCCTGCAGAAACGAGTTAAAGAACAGGAAGTATCCACACTCAGAAACTGAGTACAGCAAGTTGGAAGCCAAAATCGATCAGTTGGCAGAGGCGCTAAAAGACCAAACAAGAATAATAAGGAAGTCAGCAATCGAAAATGAACAAGCCATTAGAGAAGTAGGAGAGTTTCAAGGGCGCAATATTTCCACATTGCAAGAGCAGAACGAAGCAATGATACAGTGTGTAGAGGAAATGAAGAGCAGGGAAACGGAGAAGAAGACGGAGATCAGGAAGACGTATGCAGATGTCACAAAAGTGGTAGAAGAAATAAAAGAACAACAAGAAGTCATTAAGGGTAACTCTGAAGGTATCAAAAGAGTGATACAGAACAAGGAGTTGGAAGAAAGGGCAACAAATGTGCTGATACACAATCTCCCAGAGAGTAAAGCAGAGAAAGGAGAAGACAAAAAACAGGAAGACATAGTGAAGTTCAAAGAAATAGCAGATGCTCTGGGAGTGCGAGACTTTGAAATTCAGAAGATTGTCAGATTGAGGCAAAAACCTACAACGGAGAAAGAAGATGAAAGAAACGCAAATCAGAACCAGAAAACGAAACCAAGAATACTCCTGCTGAAGCTGAGATCAAAGGAGCACGTGGAGCTTCTGTACAAAAGGAGGTTTGATCTCAAGAGCAAAGGCATAGAAAATACCTACATTACAAGGGACCTACCTCCCGAAGAAAGGGAGAAGCAGAGAAGACTGAGAGAGGAGTGGCTCAAGAAAGGGCGAGAAACCCATGTCATTTCTCGGGGGAGGGTTGTCGAAAGGAAGGGAAACAAAGTAACACAGTAAGAAAGAAAGAAAGCAAGGATGGAAGGTACAGGAAACAAACAACAAACAAGGGGTCGAAGACCGACAACCAAGAAAGTAGAAAGGTTTACAAATTGAATCTCATTAACATACAAGGATTAACAAAGCAAAAGCTGGCAGAACTAGAAGAATTGTTAGCCTACAGTTGTGACATCTTATGTATTACTGAGACCCACCAGAGATATGATAAACTTGAGATTGACAAGAACTTGATCAAGATAGAGAGCATGAGAAAACAAAAGGACAAGAAAGGAGGAGGGCTCATGTTTTTGTATAAACAAAACAGTGGTGTCACTTTAAGTAAAGCCCCTTCAGAGAACGAAGATGTTTTGGAAGTGAGGGGAAGTATATTGAACAAACAGGTTAGGATAATACTTGTTTACATGTCAGTTGAAACAAAACCAGAAGACAAAACACGAAATGAGAAAATCAAACAAGAGCTTGAAGAGAAGCTAGAAGAAAGTCCAGACATGGCAACAATGTTGTTGGGGGATTTTAATGGACATGTAGGGTTCCTAGGAAGCCAAAAAGAGAATAGGAACGGAAAATTTGTCATTGATGTGATAAACAAAAACAATATGATTTTACTGAATGGTGATGACATATGTGAAGGCTTGTATACATGGGGAAGTAAAGAATACAGAAGTGTTATTGACTATGTGCTGGTCAACAGTAAGATGCATCAGTCTATCCTTAAGATGAAAATTGATGAAAGTCAAGAACTACTAGATCTATCAGATCACAACATGATCACAGTGTTTTTCAAAGATGAAAAGTCACTGAGTCTCAATAAAGCTAAATGGAAAGATGAATACTTCTTTAAGACAGACCAAGAATCATTGTCGGGCTTCGTGCAAGAGGTACTACAGAGAATAGAAGCTGATAACATATGCCTAATGGAAGATCTCAATGTGATAATGAAGGACGTGGCAGAGAAATTGCTTACAAGAAGGTACAGAAGAAAAACTGACAGAAAGAATGAAAAAATCAAAGAAAAACCATGGATGACCGAAGAAATACGGAAACAAATCAAGCAAAGGAAAGCCTTCAACAGACTCAGGAGAAATGCAAAGTCAGAAGAAGAAAAGAGCAGATTATATGAAAAATATTATGAGCAGAAACGACTGACAAAGCTACTCATCAAGGAAGAAATAGCAAAGCATGAAAAGAAAGTGACTGACGAAATACGTTATAGTAGCTACAAAAGCAAGGCACTTTGGGAGAATATCAACAAACTTAAAGGAAAGCAAAAGGATAACAGTCCAGTTCGCCTATTCACAGAAGCTGGACAAATGCTGCAAGGAGAAGAAGAAAAGGAAAACTTAGCAAGTGTCTGGAAGAAAATCTATCAAAGACATGAAAACAAGTTAGAAGAAGTGTGGAACGATAGGGCGAAGCTAACCTATACTGCAGATCTGGAGAAAGAGAACCAGGACCAGATACAAATAAAAGGATATAGTTTCCCAATCACACTGAGAGAACATATGGATATGGCCATGAACAGTAGGAAGAGGATGAAGAAGATGGAAGATATACAAATAACTGAGGAAGAAGTCACCAAATGTATAGGCAGGCTTAAGAACAAGTCAGCGGCAGGACCAGATGAACTCAAGCCAGAACTATACAAAGCTTTGATAAAAAATGACAAATGCTTGAAGATACTGACAGGCTGCTACCAAGAAGTCCTCGAGAGAAGTGACACGCCATCAGAATGGAAGATATCAAGGACGAAAATGATACCAAAGACGTCTAAGCCAACTGCCAAAGACTTGAGACCAATTGCTTTAACGAATGTGTCATATAAGATCTACATGTCAATTCTAAAACAGCGACTAGAAGATCATCTAGAAAGCGCAGAGCAAAAGTTAGAGACACAAGCAGGGTTTACGAGAGGAGGAAGGATAGAGGACAACCTTTTCCTATTACAGTACTGTGTGGAAGAAAGCTTTAAAATGAAGGCACCTCTGATTGTTACTTCAATTGATTACAGCAAGGCGTTTGATTCCATCGATAGAGCTAGGATGGTAGAGGTGCTCATGAAATACAAGATTCACCCCAAAATGATTGATGCTGTGGCAGCCACATACCAAGGAGACAGAACCTGGATTGAACTAAATGAGAACATTAAGTTAGAGATTTTAGTAACAAGTGGTATACGGCAAGGGTGTACAGGATCAACTGCCTTCTTCAAGCTCATGACTTATATCATCACAAAAGTAATGGAGGCAACAGAAGCAGGGTTCAGAAGCTGCAAATTTACGCTGCCAATCCTATTCTTTGCTGACGACGGGCTCCTACTGAACCATTCTATTGAAGAAACAGAGACTAGCATCAGAAGACTGACAGCAATTAGCAAGGAGTGTGGACTAGACATAAACAAGAATAAGAGCAACATTATCACATTTAATCTGAAAGAACAGCACAGAAGCATAGAAGATATTGAAGTAAAAGAAAACATAAAATACTTAGGTCTGAAAGTAACAAATACAAGGGATGTGTTCAGAGGGCAGAAAAGAATCATGATTGAAAAGGCACAAAGAATGGCAAACATGACCTATTCAGTAATTTCAAAATCATGCAACAGACTGCTGATTGGTAAGACCTACTGGAAATCCCTAGCACTGCCATCAATACTGTACGGCTCCAGTGTCATGACAGTCACAGAGGAAGAGACCAAGAAGCTGCAAGTAATCGAAAATGGTGTCTACAGACAGATCTTGGGGGCTCCAAAATATGCACCAAATGCTGCATTGAGAGGAGAAATTGGAGCATCTCTGATGACAACAAGGATTAAAACTGGAAGACTTCAGTACATGAGAAGCATATTGCAAGGAAAAAATCAACTACTCAAAGAGGTGTTAACAGAAATGATGGACGAGGGCAAGAACAAATGGATAAAGGTAACCTATTCCATTATTAAGGAAGTCGGACTCAAAGTAAAGGATTTGTATCAGATAAGCAAACAAGACCTTAAAACACACATGCAAAAATGGGATGGAAAGAAATGGAAGGAGGAATTGTTAACTAAAACTACTCTGTCCCTGTATATTGTCTGGAAAAAGGAGATGAAGGAAGTAACGTTTATTGACAACCAGCAAGCATCAACAATATTTTTCCAGGCAAGAGCTAACTGTCTTCCTCTAAATGAGCGCAAGAGATACAAGAAAGAGGACACAAGATGTATGATGTGCAATGCAGAAAATGAAGACCTCGCCCACTTTATATTGAATTGCCCAGCCTACGAAGAAGAAAGAAAAGAATCAATGCATCTTCAGAAACCCTATGCAAAGGATATTTTAGGGATATTTCTGTTTGAGGAGGAAGATATCGAAGAAAAGAAAGAAGTATTGCTTAAGCTGTGGAAGAAAAGAAGACTGCTGGAAATAAAACAAAGTTCTCCATCCTAGTTGACCTTCATCCTCCCAACACCCAATCCTGTCCCCTAGTGAGAATCCTAGCCACACAAACCAACCATAACAATGCAACCCATCGATCAAAGTAAAAGTTAAAGATTAAGAAATCAAGGAGGTGCCGATACAAAGGCTAAACCTCCGAAAACCATCGCATCGCATCGCATCGCATCGCATCGCATCGCATCGCATGAGCTGCATGTCTTACGTCAAACGAGATCATCTTTTCATAAATAAACTTCATCAAAAGCCTATATTTAAAATAAAAGCGGAAAGCATGGATTTGTAAATTCATTTCAAAGTTTAAAACATTTTCAAAAACCATATTCGGCTCGTTTTTCTATTTTCGGAATTTCCAAATTAGTTTGATGACGTCAAAATAGGTAAAATAATTTTGGCGCGAAGGTTCCTTAGATATTGTTTATGAACAACCTTGATCACAAAGCTCAGAGATTGAAAACAAAAATAAATTTGAGGGGCTGTTACATTTTTTTGTTTTTTTTTTTCGCAGGATTTTTGCAAGGCCACATATAGGATTTTCATCTGCTTCAGGAAGGTAAGACTTGGTATTGCTATTTCCTCTTACATGAGTTGCGATTGTGAGACAAAGTGATCACAGTCATGTCAAGATTTATGTGGTGTCAATAACGATTAATTGTTAACTTTTTAGCTAATTATGCTTTTGTTCAGGTACACAGTGTTTTTTATGAGGTATGAATACTAGGGTAGAACTATTTCTGCTATGTGTTCAATTTGTTTTTGCAAATGGCTGCAGTCCCTCGCCCTCGGCAGTCAGCCCTCACCCCCCCTTCATCTCGAAGATATCCCCCAGCTGGTGCATCTGGGATCCAGGATTCCTGCCTTTTGTACTCTTTCCTTCCATCTCCCTTTCTTGACATTGGAAACTCAACCAGATGAGTTAGCCTGCAGGTATTCCAGGCTTGGGCTTGGGCTGGTGGCTACTGGCTAGGTTGTAGCCTCAAATTACAGGTGCATATCAATATTGTTATAATAACGTAGGATAATAGAGCTTTGTTGCTGAAAAGTTAGGTACCATATGCCCTCAAAGCTGCCCTGAATGTTAAGTATCCTACCAGTATTTTTTTCTTCTTTTTCAATACAAAATTCAAGGCACTTGACACCATACAAGAAAAGAAAGGCTAGGGTAATTTTTCAACATAATTTTGAAGATAATAGTTCTTTGAGGCTACAAACATGACATTGTAAGAACTAACAAGTGCTCTTGTCTAATCTTATTCTTTCACAGTCAAGACAGTCAGGCTGAATCCTCTCACTGGTCTCCTTATAGTCAGGTTTAAACAGTTTTTCCCTAAATGTTTTCTGCTGGTGGCACAGGTGGTTTGTTTGTTTATTATTTATTGAAGTTAAGTTTTTTATTGTAAATTATTAATTGCTAATGATTAATGTTGAATAAATATATGGGGATATTTAAGACACAAGCCCAAAGGTTAGCGCCAAGAGCTCAAGAAAATGGAGGGCCTCAAAGGGGTTAAATTATACTTGTTTCATCCATTCATAATGCATTTAAAAGCTATTTAAAGAAGTGTTATTTACTCTGACCACTTACCTTTCCAGTAACAAGGGCAAAACTGGATGGTACTTGGGGCAGTTATATTCATTATTTGCAGACACTAAAGCTGAATCTGTTTTTAAGTGCAAAGTTTGAACTCAGTGCTGCCTTCTTAGCCATGTCATTGAACCTTTGAATGCTAAGACTAGCCTGGTTGGAACTTGGAACTTGGAAGTAAGCATATTGGTAGGTACTAGGTATTTTCCTGTTACTCTAAAGGGCTGTAAGAGAGAGATGCTGCTGACAGTCAGCACATTACATACTCTGCTAGAGAGGGAGCCATTGGCCATAAAACAGGGCTCTCACAAAGCACTTGCGAGACAGCCCTGAACGCTGTGTGGCTGGCTGGCCGGTGCTGCTCACTGCTGTACACGCTGCCGTACGGTTGCAGGTGGTCTCGCGGTGACGCCATGCCGTGTGACGTCACCTCGGCGCCGCTGCTGGAGCGGTCCGATGACGAGCCGGAGCCGCCGGCGCGGCCGGCCACCCCGCCGCCGGCCGCCGGCACCTCCTGGCCGGCCGCCGTGTTCCTCATAGTGAACGCGGCGCTGGGCGCCGGGCTGCTCAACTTTCCGCAGGCGTACGACCAGGCCGGCGGGCTGGCGGTGGCGCTCTCCGTGCAGGCCACGCTGCTGGTGTTTATCGTGGCGGCGCTGCTCGTGCTGGCCGTGTGCTCGGACCACGCCGGCGCCGCCACCTACCAGGACGCGGTGCACGGCCTGCTGGGCGCGCCCGGCCTCTGGGCCTGCTCGGCGGCCATCGCGCTCTACTGCTACGGCACCTGCGTCACCTTCCTCATCGTGATCCGAGACCAGTCGGACGTGGTGTTCTCGTCGCTGGCCGGACCTCAGTTCTGTAAGACCTGGTACATGAGCCACCTCTTCACCATGCCTGTCACCGTGGCTCTGTTCGTGCTGCCACTCTGCTTCTCAAAAAGGATCGACTTCCTGAAATGGGCGAGCGCGGTGGGCGTGGCGGCGATATTCTACCTGGACGGACTCATCACTGTGAAATACTTCACGGGCGGGTTCGAGCCGGGTCCCATCAAACACCGACCGGACACGTGGACGGACGTGTTCCTCGTGATGCCCACCATCTGTTTCGGCTACCAGTGTCACGTGTCGGTGGTGCCCATCTACTCGTGTCTGCGCGTGCGGACGCCGACCACGTTCCTGCGCTCCGCTCTGACGGCCATCGCGGTGTGCGTAGCCACGTACACAGTGGCGGGCACCTTTGGCTACCTGACATTCGGCGGCCGCGTCACCAGCGACGTACTCATGTCGTACAACGCGCGCGACCCGTGGGTCATGGCCGGCATCGTCGCCATCGCCGTCAAGACGTACACCACGTACCCGATCCTGCTGTTCTGCGGCCGGGAGGCCGTGGTCCGGCTGTGGGTGGCCGGTCGCGGCCTGGACGAGTCGGCGGCCGCCACCGGTGAGCTGCCCCGCCGCTGTGTGGTGGCCACCCTCTGGCTCGTCTCCTCGGTGCTGCTGGCTCTGGTGACACCCAGCATTGGCGCCGTGATTCAACTACTCGGCAGTCTGGCAGCGCTCTTCATCTTCGTCTTCCCAGGGCTGTGCCTGCTGCGCCTGGTGCTGGAGAAGGACCCGGAGTTGCTGCTGCGCAAGGACCGCTGGCTGACCGCGTTCGCCGTGGCGCTCACCTCCGTGGGGGCGTTCGTGTTCGGTCTAGTGCTGACCCAGGCGCTGGAGGAGGACATCGAGCACCTGGGGCCGCCCATCACCGACCTGTGCGTGGTGAACCGCGTCACCAGCCAGCTCATGATGCACGGGTGATGCGCTGACCGCTGCGGGGACTGATATTTACTGACTTGTCGTTCAGCCTATGATGCACGGATGGTACGACGGTCGTCGCGGGCTGATGTTTACTGACCTGTGTGTTTGCATTGGGGGAAGGGGACACCTCATACGTGCACTTGTACTCGAATGTGTAGCGATCGTGCGAAAACACCATGTTATTATGAAGTCATCAGACAACTTTCCGATCTGTCGAACCAGCTAAACTGACTCGTTTATTGTAGCGTGCTTTTGCCGTGATTATTGTATGTTCGACCTCCGGAGCGTATACCGAGTGTTACATTCATTCTAGGCTGTGTGTAGTGTTTTGTTGTGAGTTTTGTGGCTGATACATTGAAATCCTACTTGTGCTTTAGGTTTTGTATCGATCGGTTACATCATATTGGTCTCATGTCTTATCTGCCGATGCACCACATTCTTACAATTATCATTTAAGAGAGGCACATTAGTCATTATTTAGCTGTGGTGCGGATTCAACCTCAACGTTCTTGCCTTTTTTAGCGTTTAGTTGATTAGCTTGTTGGAAGGAAAATTCGCCGACTTTCAAAGTTAGGTACCCTTTTTGGGAAATAGGTTTCGGTGACTAGTGACTACGAATTTTCCCCGACAACGATTGGCATAATAATTCATTGAAAACAATAAATGGACATCCCGCTGAATGCAACGTGTTCTCGAGGTGCTGTTCGGTGAATGTTTTAGGATAAACATTGACTTGTGGTCTCCAATGAGTGCAGATGTTCTATAAGTATATGCTGACGACATTTTTTAGATGACCAAGCCATTTTGCAGTGACACCATTGCAAGTGTTCTTGAATCGAGCATGAGCAGATCTTCGCAGACTGGATAAGCCTCGCCGTGGGGTCTCGTAACTATGTACCGTTCTCCTTTTCAGGATTCGTATGCTTTGTTAATCGTGGGTTCACCGGCATGCAGATTTTTGCCAAGCTGTGAGTACTCGCTACAATCTTGTCTCCTCATCCACTAGTAATTTAGATCGACAGCATTTTTGTAAGCTTTGTTTTACGATGTTTGTTATCTATTGGGGACTTGGTTCATGTAAGACGTTGGCTAGCATTACACATGAACATTTCGCTTTTGCAGCACGATGCCATTGCTCCAATACTTAGAATAGATAACGCATGGACCATTTTTGACCCGTCATATTGCCCTAAATTCTCATATTGTAGACCTGTTTTGTAGTTTGGTTTTCAGCGCAGTACTGCGATCTTTTCTGAGCTCTCTGACTGGTTCCGTGCGCGCAGGCCGGACGGCGGCACGGAGCCGCCCTCCTGGGCGCTGGTGGAGCTGCAGGGCGACCTCGAGTCGCGGTCGGCCACCTCGCTGGCCGGCCAGCTGATCGGCGACCTGCACTTCACGCGACAGGGCGCACCCGTGCTCATCGTCGGCCACCACATCCTCTGGGGCAAGGTGACCGCCCTCGAGAAGCCGCTGCTGGTCATGCGCAAACGGGATGACCTGACGCCTGCCGGTGAGTGGGTGAGACGCTGGTTTCCGCTTTGTCCACCAGGTGGCTCCGGTGTAGCGACAGGCTCGGAGGGATGATGTTACGTTACGTCACAGTTGGCAGATTTGTTGGTTCGTTGGTGGGAGACGGGAGTTGTTATTTATAGCTGACCTCTCGTCGTTATGTCAGTGGTTACCGTGTCTCAGATCTTCACTCCTTGGTCAGAAGTTGGCGTGTAGGCTTTTCGTTTCTAGCGCTTTTCATCACACATTTTCATGTTAATTCGCTCGTTTTACGATTAAGCGGATAGGCAACCATTATCGGGAACCAGTGGGATAATGAAAGGGGAAACTTATTCAAGATTCGTTTCAAAATTTACCCTCAGTCAGAAAATCTGCACTCTTTGGAAAATGATAACTTCAATTGTCTGATCGAGGTCGCCCAATCATTCAAAGTTCACAATGAAAAGGTGGTTGGTAACGGCCAATGGTAGACAAGTGGAGATTCCAGGGTGACACTAATGACTTATGACAGACATCGTAATTAATTTGAAATCACGCCTCTGTAATCTGTATGATGCGGGGAAGATGGCGGGTAGAGCCGTGGCCACGGAAAATGGCACAAACTATGGTGTTTATTCCATTACCCAGCATCGTGCCAAAGATACGGTCGAAGAACGTTAGAAGTGTTGAGGAATATGAAGAGTTTCCGATTTTCTTTTTCGACAGTAGGAGCCTTTGACTGAGACGGGGAAATAGCGGGCAAACATATGTAAAGCCCTCAACAGACTGCGTGGTAACTGGTAGGTATTCTTTTTTCGACAAAACCGGTAATAACTCAAAGACTATGTTATCAGTCGGTCGGAACTCACTGCATGTAGAGGCGCCATGCCAGGGGCGCGGGAACTACTTTCAGACTGGAGGGGGGGGGGGGTGCACACCATAATAGAGATCAACCTAGGGTACCCCCAAATCTAGTTTTCTCACCGGTTTTAGGCCACTTATTTTTCATCCCTTGGCTTTTCCAGCAAAAAAGAAAATATTTGCAAAAAAGTGTGGTATTCCGTCTCAAAGCTGTGGGGGCACCGCCCCATGGCCCTTGAGTTGGGGGGCAGGCTGCCCCCACTGCCCCCCCCCCCCCGGCTCCCGCGCCTATGCGCCATGCCCCACTCCTTCGATTGGGTCTATCACTAAACAAAGTGTATGCCTTGCATGGTAACAAAATGCAAAAAGTTTGTTTTTGGGGCAAATATAAACTTTTTGGTTTTGTTGCCAAACTGGATGGAAAATGAGCACGATGGTAATGCCAATCTAAGGTGCGGAGTCTCAGGCGTATTGCTGTTACGATTTCCGAGTGACCGATAGCATAGTATCCGATAGCATAGTATCCGCGTTATTCTCGGTTTTGTCGAAAAAAGAATGCCTACCACACAGTTTGCAGAGGGCTGTACAGTGTACACATTGTCACCATCTCAACAAGACGAGTCAACTGATAGCATTATCGTTGTCTCGTACCAGGAACCGACCTTGGTCGATGGCCAAGTTTAAAGGCGGTCAAATGAGTGTTCACCTCCGGCCAGCCATGAATTATGGTCAAATGAGTGTTCGATGTCTCTCGATAGGAAGCCTGCTAGTCCTTATGAAGACCCCGGCTTTATATAGATGAGTTCTGACCTAAAAGGAACAAAATTCATTTCAAAGATTGATTTTTCTTCGTTACATAAGTGGCAGTTTGACCCTTGACGTCAAGCGTCTGAGTGTCCAAGCCCCTCTTCACGAAGAGGATTTCTCTAGAAGCCATAGGGGTTTACATTCTTCGTTTTCGCCAGCGGCAGAATCAGACGCCATGGAAACGGATGCTGAGCCGGAGAGCCGCTACCACGTGCAGGCCATCGTCCGAAACAAGATCCTGTTCAAGAGTCGACCCAAACCCATCATCGCTAACGTGCCAAAGAAGATCTGACACGGGCCCGTCCGTCCATGTGAGTGTCGCTGACGCTGATCACGCGTCCGTCTGACGGCCGCCGCGGCCGGGACGGCCGATAGCGACGTCTGCCCGGTGCTGACGGTGTCGCCCGGCGCGGCGGTGTCGGGACGGCGGCCAAGGTATGCGCGCCGCCGGCCGGGTCGGGGTCGTCTATCTCTGGCCGGTCCCGTGCCGCGCTGGCCGCCGGCCAACGCCATCCGGCCAGCCAAACGTCACCGCACGCGCGCGCGACCCCGCTCAGCCGCCAGCCGGCCCCTCGGGGACTGAGTGACCCGGCAAATGGGGGTGGAACAGACTGCTGGGAGATAAGAGGGGTTTCGTCTGCGGCAGAACCGCGGTCGATCCAGCGCATATTTTTAGGCATTTAGAAGGACGCTTCATTTCATTGAGCTCCGTGAATTAGTCGTCATCACAGATTCACAATCGTTACTGTTGCTGATCATTTTGCCTGATGATGAGTACGTACTGGATGATTCATATGAGGAAGGATATGATGCCTGAAAGTCGTATCTTGCCCAGGGTGTCGTCAGGACGCAGCGCATGTATTGTTCATATGACGTTATTTCTAATAAAATATAAATATCCTTAACATTTTAATGCACATAGCCTAGCAGCTAAATGGCATTTTATGCTGCCAATGCTTCATGATTTGTGAGCGCATCTTATCATTCTTGTGTTGCCTCCAGGCTCCAAGTGTCTTCTTTCCCGAGTGGTGGCCAGGGGCATCGCTAGTTTCCCGATTAGCTCCTTTCGAATGGGGACGCTTCGCGCGGATCATGACTCGGGTCAAGAACTGACCTCAGGTCATCAATATGAGAATTCGAGGTATGGGAATTAGCAGCTTTAATCACTTACCTATCTTTTTATAATCTACATACGTAAGCACCTGGCACGATTGAAAGATAAACTATGGATGCGACATAATGTCAGATTTTGCAGCAGTAAAATGTTAATAAGAACTTAACAAATTTTATCGTGACCCGGTGGCATGGCTCCTACTATAATTATGTGCAAAATCAATGTTTGAGTAAAATTGTAATGGATGACTGAGCTCTGGGCTAAATTACGTGCTGTTTTCACACTTAACTTCAACGTGGGAGGTCGGGCTTCACTGATTCAAGTTTATGCGTGGCTCAAGCCGAACATAAACGGCGCGGGCTAGACAGTAGACTTCACACACTCAAGCCTGTCACACTGAGTAAAACCCGTATATCATGGAATCCAATAATCACCGTACGGTTATACGCTGTTTGTCCGGGCTTCTCAGCGCCTCATGAGGTGACATTTGGTCGTCTCCCGAAATACCGCCGCGTCTGACAGTAGGTCGGGTCAGATCGATGACGTCATTGGCAGCACTGGCGCCGCTGGCCGTCAGCTGACGTGGGCCATCCATCGACGTCCTGTCGAGCTGGCGGCCAGCCATCCGCAAAAGCCGTAATATCCACCAACTGAAGCCGGACAGGCGCCGAGCCTATACCGGATAAGTGTGACCAAATGCGGCTGAGGTTTTAGTCGTATGAAGATACAATCTTGATATTAGTGATTTACTACGCTTTGAATCCTAAAAGCAAAAACAATTACCTAATAGCAGTATGTCTGTCACAGGAGGGGACGAAGACCGCTTGAAGCTCATTCGTTTCATTGGCTTGTTGAAAGTGGAAACCTTTAGAGACGCATGATGCGCCACTTTGGAAAGCAACCCATCATGTCCAATGGCCATGTTCTTCACTCAATCTGCGTCCGTTTGGTAACTCTTTCATATCCGGTGCCTCTCGGAGCTCGTAGGAGATATGAATTATAGATTACTTCATGTGAATGTGATCAACAGTCTACTCAGGGTTCCTCGACATTATCTTGCTGTCGTGGTCGTGATTTTCACTCTCATTCTCCCCATTTCATCTCATTACCCACCCGCCCTTGTGAATTCTCAACACCACACTTCATACCACAAACGTGAACATATCAACATGATGATTGTATTGCACATCGGTTGATCGGCTGGCTCGGACAGGCGAGGCTGGCACGGCGGAGTCGGTTGGTGATAGTACACGGAATGTGCACCGGCTGGTGTAGGTCCGCCAGTCGATCTGGGCCGGGGCGCGGCCGGATTCCGTGTGCACCGGTGATGGCTACCTCCTGGTTTGACGTTGGTCGGCTCAGTGAAACGACAGTGAGACGCGGCGTGTGGAGCTGTGCAGCTAGTGGAAACGGATCCCTGACTCCTAGTTGTATGTTGAGCGTCGCCCTCTAGCCGAACATGACCGACTTGAGCTCGTCGTACAGCACCAGTACCAGAGCGCCGCCTGGAAAACAAAAATGGTGACGATCAATGAACATTCTAGCCAAGTTAGTGCAAGACGGGCTTAAAAACTGTTCCAGGGCTCCAGGGTATTCCATGGGTATTCTTTTGACTGCAGTATGCACTGTTGTCACTTGCGTACTGAACAACATGATGAAATGCACAAATGCAATTTAAAAAGTTGTGCACGCATGTGCTTTCAGCTCATTTTTAATCCATCCCCTTATTTAGGATGGCATTGTCATTGGCATGGTGATCATTGGAATGGCGAAACTGAAGAGTTGGTATCGGAATAATTACGTAGACCACCGTATACGACACTTATGTCTCATGGTCTGCCTCGCGTGGTCTCTACGAGCACTTACCAGTGCCACGGAGAACGTTGGAGAAGGCGCCCTTGAAGAAGGCACCGCCGCCCTCCTGGGCAGCCACCTTGCGCCAGCAGTCGATGGTGCTCTTGTACATGACGTCGGCGCCCTTGCGGCCCGACTGCATCATCATGCGCCTCCGGACGGTGTCGAACGGATACGAGATGATGCCGGCCACGGTCGTCACAGTCTGTCGGAACGAATGCAGTCAAAGAACGTTCAGTTTAGCGTGTGCTTATTAAGCAAGGACGCGGGGAGCGTTCTCACGTGGACAATATCCTCTTCAAGAACGCGGTTGTCCTCCACTTAGCTCAAATATCGCATGTTTAGCGATATAAACAAACAGTGTCTTTGTGAAATGACATGTACAATAAGAAAACATAAATTAGTACTGACTTTATAAGCACTCGTGACTCGAGTGACTAACAGATGTCAATGAAGTATGTTGCTAATTAGATGGAAATCACGTTGCACTTTGTTAGCACTGCCGGCTTTACCAGCAACCAACCCAGCTGCCCATTTACGTACCTGGGCAATGGCCCACGACACGACGATCGGGGTCTTCTTGGGGTCGGGCAGCATGCCCTTGGCGGTGTCGAAGAAGCCGAAGTAGGAGGCACGGTAGATGATGATGCCCTGCACGGACACTCCGAAGCCACGGTACAGGCCTACAAGACCGTCGGACTTGAAGTTCTTGATCAGACAGTCGCCGAGACCAGTGAACTCGCGCTTGCCACCGGTGCCGACATCAGCGGCCAGCCGGGTACGGGCGAAGTCGAGCGGGTACACGAAGCACAGCGAGGTGGCTCCGGCGGCGCCACCGGACGCCAGGTTACCCAGGAAGTACCGCCAGAACTGGTTCTTGTCGACGCCGCCAAGGAAGATCTGCTTGTACTTGTCCTTGAAGGCGAAGTTGAGCGCCTGGGTCGGGAAGTACCGGATGACGTTGGCGAGGTTGCCACGCCAGAAGCTGAGGAAGCCCTGCTCACGCGGGATCCGCACAAAGCAGTCGACCATGCCTGCCGATGGTAGGAGACTTGACTCAACATCAGAAATAGAGCAACACTTCTGCAAATGCATGCACCTTGAAATGTAAAATTGGGAGCTTTAGCAATTGCTATGTCGTTAACACGAAATATCTTTTGAAAATGCATGCAGGATATGGTTAGTTCCGGAAAATCGACGACTTATGCTGGATAAGATATCACATTAAAGGAAAGATTTCATAAAATGGAGTTTCCACGTGATCCTTAGCAAATATCTTGGTTGAATATGGACCATATACCTAGTAGCTCGTTTAAGTAATATGTAAGTATGGATGCTTGGTGCTAGGTCCCTCCGGATACGAACCAGGTTGATGTGGTATCCAGCATGCTGGGTCACAACGCTGTTTCTTTCCATCTTGTCGCATGCAGTCGCTGCTTGAACATAACTAGAATGAGTCCTGAAACTGGTAGAAACCAGTTGTAAGATAACAGGGGTTTGAATAAAAGAATCCAAATTAAACTGAGGAAATCATGCAGAGGTACAAGCTACAGCACAACTAAACGAGACTGATTATCATTGATCGCTAGCACATGACCTTCGCAGTACACACCCAAATCACTTTCTTGGCATCTGTCTCGTTGATTTAATCAAATCCGTTTTATCATTCGTCCCTACATATTTCAATATTGCTCTCGTATGTGACTTTGTGGTTGATATTATGTAAAATCTATCTTTTCCTTTAGTTTTAAAGTGGGATAGTTGGCTTTATCCGAGAAAAAAAAACTTGAGAGAAAATGGAAACACATATGTGAAATGCCGACAAGCGTCGTGTAAGCAGTCAGTTGCATAGCAATGAATATTTACGTTTCCCAGCTTGCAAGATACCAACGTTGAAGTGATTTGGTAGCTGTTTGCATCAACAATAAAGAGCACGTTGCCATGCTCATGATCTTTCCCCACAAACTGCATTCAAAAATTATCTAATACTTTTCTCAGACTGGCGTCATGTTATCGCCTGAAAACCACTTAACGCCAACACTTATGCTAACAAGTAACATGTTAACCTAAACTGCTCTTGATAAGTCCGGTCGATCTTGATCATGCCGATATCACAAATACTAGGACGCATGCTGTTTGGCAAATCTCCAGCAAATCAAACAAAGTGGACGATACCCCAAGCAAACTTGAGCTAACCTCCACACCCGTGCCAAGACAATTGTTACGGAGGCGTTTGAATAGTAGCAATAACCTGGACAGACATCAATACAAGCACACAAAATATCGACTCACCCTTGTATCGCTGGGACTCGGCAATCTGCTTGGAAGTGTGCTGGACCTGCAGCAGCAGCTTGACGCGCTCGATGGGCGCCACGGTGGTCTTGGAAATGGCCGCGGCAACGCCACCGGCGATAAAGTCCTGAGCAAAGCCCTTCGCGTCGAAGCCCATTTTGCTAGTGTTGTGGGTTACGTTGGACTGAAGTGGAGCGGGCTGCCACCCTCACCGTGCGGACGCCGGCCACCGACTCGGAGGGACCGACGCTCCGACCGCTGTCGGGAGCCAGCCGTACGCTAATAGCATAAGAAGACGGCCCGCGGAACAGGGCGCCTATTGGCGGAAAACCTCGGTATAGGCCGGGCTGAGCCAATGGAAAACTGTATAACAGGTGCTCGGTAGGCAGGAGCCGTGAGGTTTTGACGCCGTCAAACCAGACTTTGTCGGCACTTTCCACAGACTCGAGATGTGACCACTACATACTGACCCCCACCAACATAATGAGCAACAAAGCTGCTCTCATTGCAGGCTGATTTTAATTATGCTTATTATGGTGATTATGACTACCTATGTTTTCTATATTTAATGTATGAAGCCCTCATTTAATATTTGTTCGGCCTGATAATGATCACTGATGGGCGGCTTCCGTCGTGCTTTTTTTCTTTGTAGACCAAACATGGTAGCTGACTTCAATGTATATTTTCACTATTTTTACTATTTCGTTTGTTTCACGCCAAACGGTTATTTATATATTCATAATAGAAAATCTAACGGACTGTTCCTGTAAGAGCACTTTTTCTCAACTGCTATTTCTCAGTCTTGCTAGCCTTCAGAGAGAGCCGCTACTCCCGGAAGGACTTTTCCTGCAAGCGTTTTATAACCGTCATATATCCGTCGAAACGATTTTAAAGAAAGCTTCGGCTGGCTAAAACACCCAATGAGAAGCAATTAAAAATGTCAATGGTTAACTGAAAACGCTAGGAATGAACAACTGTATGATATGAAGTTAAAATCACTCAAACGGTTTTGTGTAGGCATTCTGAAGACACCAAAGTAAATGATTCATTTTATTGTGCCGATTGATTTTACCGAGTCATAAGGTATAACAGCTAAGCAGGGACATGTGAGTCGTTCCCTTACCTTCCAGGAGCTCCAGGCTGGCGCCGCCTCCGGTGCTGACGTGGCTGACCTTGTCCTCGGTCTTGAATTTGGCGCAGCAGGTGGCCGTGTCGCCGCCGCCGATGATGGTCGTGGCGCCCTTCTTAGTCGCCTCCACGACGGCGTCCATCATGCCCTTGGTGCCCTTCGCGAAGTTCTCGAATTCAAAGACCCCAGGAGGTCTGCCGGTGAGAGTATCGGGCAATGGGACGAGCCTCGTGGTAAGGTAGGCTGTGCCGCACTACAGCAGTGTCATCCGGCACAGTCTAACCAACTCGTAGTGAAACTTCAGAGTGCAGAACCCCGCTCGACTCGGGGCGTTAAAACCATTCGAGGGGGCTGACCCAACGCATGCAGCAAACATTACTTACGGATACTTCAAACAGAACGAGTACTTTTATTTATAGAATCATGTAAAATCACTAACCCGTTCCAGACAATCGTCTTCGCCTTGAGGATAACTGCTTTGAACGCATCCGTGGTCTTGGGTCCGATGTCCAGGCCCATGCAGCCGTCTGGGATGCCTCCGTCGACCGTTGCAGCGCCCACCTGTGACCCGTTAATTATCAGTTACCTACTTCTGTGTAAAAACAAACCATGCTCTCGGTCATGTTTGTGCCTAATTGCTGATTCGATGCCCCGCCCCCGTAGACAAAAAAAAAAACATGTTAGTGCAGTTTTGCGCTGTAAGAAGGCCAGTTAGATACGAGGACCATAAAAGATAAGTTTTGAAATCACAACACTGAAAACCACTGTGTGAAGACAGCGGCGGCGCAAAACTCTTACCTTTGCCTTTTCGTCGAATTTGTCGCCAGTGACGAAGTCGACGGGGAGGTGGATCTGGACCTTGTTCTTCTTGGCCTTCTCCATCAGCTGTTTCACGATCTTCGCTCCGTCGGCATCGAACAGCGAGCCTCCGATCTGTATACAGAAGTTTACGTTTTGTATTGTGTGTGCATAAAAAGATAACGTTACAGAATACCACAATCAACTCAGTCAAATACCAGGCTGCTGATCGGGTTACAGGGCGGTTCAGACCTTCAGATACACACCTTCATCCCGTTCAGCTCCTTCAGGAAGGTGAATGCCATGCCTCCTCCGATGATCATTTCGTTCACTTTATCCAGCATGTTTTCGATAAGCTGAATCTTGTCTTGCACTTTAGCACCACCAAGAATGGCAAGGAAAGGTCTGAAATGATACCGATTGAAGCCATTGATTACCAAAAAGGCACTGATTTTCAGAGTAATGACGATTTTGAAGACTTTTACTTAATGCTGGCGAAGTCTTTGAGTGAATTATTTAGCCAGGATTACCACTGGCTGGTGCCAAAAATGAAATGACGTCGTTTGCAATCCTATTGCATGCAATAAAAACCCGATTCGTACCTGGCAGGTGACTCCAATGCCTTTGCGAAGTACGTTAGTTCCTTCTTCAGCAGGAACCCAGCAGCCCTCTTGTCGAAGCCCTCTCCCAGCATTGAGCTGTGAGCGCGATGCGCTGTGCCGAATGCATCGTTGATATAAATGTCCCCCAGCTTGCGCAGTGACTGGCGGAACTCCTTTGTCTTCTTTTCGTCGGCCTTGATCTGAAAAACCAAACATTGTAGGTAAGTGGTCAATGCATAGTATCAATGCATGGTAGAATCAATCATCGGGAGCACTTGGAAGCGATGAAACACGGAGAGATGATGCTTAACAATCGACAATCACGATTCACGGGAGTTGATCCTCGATAATCTACAATCACTGTGATTTTACCTTGTTGCCTTTCTCATCAACGCCCTTCCCTTCCTCTTCAACATGATAGCGGAGATTTTCCAACAAAATGATGGAGCCGTCCTTTGGGCTGCTGCAGGCTTTTTCCACATCAGGTCCGACGCAGTCCGTCAGAAACGTTATGTCCCTGAAAAAGAGCATGATAATTGAAAAAAAAAGAAGGTTCCGCCAATTCGTCACGAATTAATAGGAAATGTAAATCTAAATATGTTTCAATCACAATTATGAAAACGTCTTAGGATTTGTCAATAACCAATAACCATACAATGCATGGAGGATTACAGGTATGCATCAGATTTGTTGACGACTTGCAATGATTTGCGGCAATTCCAAAACTAAAACGCACACCATAGTTTATATTATCTCGTTCAAGTTAAACTCACTTATTCAGCAGTTTCTTGAGTTCGTCGGCTACCGGCTTCATGGTCGCCTTGGGGTCCTTGTGCCCATCGGGCCTACCGAGATGTGACATGAGCACCACCGATTTGGCCTTCTTGTCCAGCGCATACTTGATGGTGTCCAGAGCGGCCACGATCCTTTGGTTGTTGCTAATCTTGCCATCCTTCAGCGGCACGTTGAAATCAACCCTGAGTAAGGAAAACATTACGGTTGGTAAGGTAACCACCAACAGATTTATGGAATTTATAATAAAGCATCAAATACTTTATTTCAACAACCTTCCGCCTGACTAAGCAGCCGCCTTCTGAGCCGACAAGAAGGTCCGATTTTGCGGCAATATGAGCCGCTTTGCTCTCGATGTCTCGCTTCTGACTTGGGTGACGTGCGGTAAGCACGTATGCCGTACAACTACATGTCACGACTCACGTTTAAAGTAAAATAAGACAATCTTATGACACAATCAGCATTTTCAGGTCCGGTCAGGTCACTTACCTAATACGTCAGAAGTGGACGTTTTCGACTGAACGGTCCTAAAATGCCGCAAATTCGCAACACCCTCAGCAGGAGGGAATCTTTCATAGGGAACTAAAAGTTGCAGGAAGTAAGCTAATGATCTCCAGAGAGCTAAGGACGAACACGATGGTGAGCTCTGCGATCATTTTTGACGTATTATTTACTGTTTACTCATAAAAAACGGACCCCTAACGGTGTACCTACTTCGGGACATTTGACCTAATCTCAGAGGTCAACGGTTGACCTGAAACCCTAAAATTGGTAGGTACCAGTTACTGTGTCTCGTTACGGCGACGGGCGTACAAACTGCAAGCTCCTTTTTTTCCCTGAAGCTCTTGCTCAATTTTGTCGGGAGTTATTGACGAAAATCTCATTCTCCGATGACCCCAATTAGCGCAATGACGATATACCTATTACGTCGTGCAAGCCGCAAGGTAAAGGGTAAACAAAATCACAGGCGGCAGGCCCGCGTAAGTGTGGCATGGAATCACTATTTCAAGTGTTTGAGTTAGCATCTAATGGTTCCCGGCGTTAAATTAGCAGTATCTTTACTTCCCCGATTCAGTTTTAACGGGAAGTTCGCTTGAACTGCGCTTGAACGCCCTGGCCTCAGGTCTTCGATATGTCGGAGCTCAGATTCATGGGCCTTTAAGAAATTCCAAGTGACACAAGTTGCAAAGGCCTTGAAGAATAAAGGTTTTATATTCCTCCGATTTCCGAATTTTTCCTCCTATCCTGCAGCCCTCCCTCATTCCATCCGATCTTCATGAGCAATTCAGTGGCGGATCCAGGGGAGGGCAAAATGGGCATTTGCCTTCCCCAAAGCTAAATCATGTGGGCAAGACTGTCCTTTTGCCCCTCCCAAAGCATATAGAGATGATAGAATTGAATACGGCGTCGAGGACTATCTGGACGAAAAGCAGGACTTTCGGTGACCCGAAGGAAGGAGCTGGACGCTCGCTGCTGATGATTTATGCCAGAATGCTGTTAATAGATCGAACTACCTGAACTGATTGCATGCAGATAGTGTGGCGTTGTAAAGTCGTTTGGTCATCTTGGTGCTCAAGGGTAGCGGAAATCCGGATAGAGGGTGCAGGGGTTTCAGCTCCAGACCCATGGAAAACATTGGAGTGCAAACATAGCTTTTTGCACCCTCCAAAAGCCGTATAAGAGGCCTGTCACACCACCACTGTCCAAATACATTTTATCCTAAAAACCAGTGATCGGGAAACGAACGATCATGTGGGATCACCGATCATCAGACGTCCAGTAACAGTTGTTGGTCAGGAGCGCCCTATGCTGGTCTTTGGGGACCTCACCGGCTAGGAGTGTCCCGAACCGCGTTTGGTGCCCCATGACGGCATCTGAGGACCCCACGGAGACTCCAGGGGTTACGCTGCGTCTGAGGGCCCCCACGGCGGTCTCTGAGGGCCCTCGTGACACGGTACTAGACCCATCTCAGGTCTGAGTGCCCATCGGGCTTTAGACGGCCCACGACGGCCTCTGAGGGCCCCAACACAACCAGGCTGCAGGGGCTATGCTGGCATCTGAGGAACCTGTGACGGTCTCTTGATGGCCCTAACGATGGACTCTGATGTCCTTACCACAGCCTTTGAGGGCCTTGCAAAGATACCTGAGGGCCCAGGGCCTATGAAGACCGTCATGATGGCCAAAGACCTTCATGATGACCTCTGATGGTCCTCTTGAAGGCTTCTAAGGGCCCTCACAACGATTTCCACAGTGATTCCACCCGAGACGGTCCCTCAGGCCTGAGGGCCCTCACGACGACCTCTATCATCTATGGGCCCTCACGACGACCTCTAGGACCCAATGCAAGCTTCAAATGCCCACGCTGGCGTCTGAGGGCCCCACGATGACCTCTGATCTGGCCTCAACGCAGGCAGACTGCAGGGGTCATGCTGACCTCTGAGAGTCCTGTAACGAAGGCTCCAAGGGCCCACGCTGGCCTATGAAGAACCCTACGACGGCCTCTGGAGGGCCTTAACGCAGGCAGGGGACATGCTGGCCTCGGGGCCCCGCGAAGATTTCAGATTCAGAGGCCCTTCACAACGACCTTTGAGGGCCTTACAAAGGTCTCTGAGGGATTAAGCAGGCTCGTGGGATTCCACACTGATTGTCAGGTCCCATGTAGGCTTGTTGAGACACTGTATCCGCTCCTGGTGCCCCTTCGCCGGCCTCTGAGAGTCTCAACACCGGAACTTCTAGGCCCTACACCGGCTTTTAGGACCATTACATCGATCTTGGTACCCACGAACCATCAAATATGTGTCCAAGCGGCTTCTAAGAATCCCCATGCATGTTCCACGGACATGAAGCCGAATTTTTGGGCTCACACGCGAGCTCTTGGGACCCCATGCACGCTCAAGGGACCTACCTGCCTCCAAGAGCCTCACTCATACTTTTGGGGCCCTAACGCTTGCCCCTGAAGGCCCCACTCAGACTCCTACCCTTTCCTCCACACCGGTTCTTTAGGCTAAACATCAGCTCCTTTGGCCTCTATCCCGGTTTTTGAGGGCCTCCATACAGGCTTTTTGGGTCCGATGCCGGTCTTTAAGAACTTTCCAGACTCTCGAGCCTACGCTGCTTTCTGAAACCCTTCAGCACCTTCTGAGGAACCGACCCTGGTCGGGGACTCATTCAATCTGAGAAGTAGTGAAGGCTTCTGGAGGAGCCTCCATTGAGTCATTCAGTTTCCAGAGGTTTTTAACGGTCTTGTAAGAGCGGACCCGTAGGGCTCTCAAAGGTCCACTGCGGATCAAGAAAAGTGGTTTGAGGCTTGCGGGTGGTGGTTAGCATAAGAAAAATCACCCAGTAAAAAAAAAACTTGTTGCATTTCACTTATTTAGGTATGCTGTGATTTTGTTAGGTTCACTGAAATATGCAAACATTTTGGATAACTTCCTGTACGGATTGTTTCCTTAACTTTTGGTTTTCATAAATCGATGATTGACAGCTTGAAAAAGTAAAAGGGCCCAAAACCTTCAGTGGGGCCCCTTGAGAAAATTTTGCATCCCCATCCAAAATTTATCTTACATTCCTCCCAGTGCGGGGGCGGATAGGGGTCGTCGGATAGGTCGGAAACTTTTGCCCTCCCCAAACGGATCGGCTGGATCCGCCCCTGGAGCAATTCATCATGAGCCAGATGCGATCGTCGCCAAGGTGTGGCAATATTTTACACCCAATTATCGGCCGGGAATATAGCTCAGTGAGCTCACTTCGTCGCCACTTCGTCGCCTGGTGCGCAACCAGGGCCTCGTTTCATAACTTATACGGCCTTGGTTTCATACAGCGAGTCCGTAACTGTCCGTAACTTACGGCGGTTGTTGGTCTTGTAATGCAAGTGCATGTGAAGCGATGACGTTAGTTTGAATCGTTGAATTTATTCAGCTTGCAAGCTGGCAAGAACAGAAGGGAGAAGGGGAAATAAATTTTCGCTTTACATGCACTTGCAATACAAGATCAAAAACCGGCGTAAGTTACGGAATCGCTTTATGAAACGAGGCCCTGGTGGCAGGTGCCATATGAACTTATTCATCCTATTCCTGACGAAATAAATCTCAATCTAGCGCGCTAAAAATATTAGCAATGAGGTGATACATCATACAAATGTCATAGCCGGTACAGATACTCGTTCGGCGTTCAGCCAACATCAGCAATCAGAGCATGCAATCGTTCATACATACCTATAGGTGCCTAAATAATTAGAAAAAATCAATTGAAACAACTTGCCTGATCAACACACGCTTTCCCTTCAGATCCAGCTTGTCAATGTTCAATTTCTTGTTCAGTGACATACTTGCTAATTTAATCGGAAATATAAAACTAACAAATTATCAACCACCTGTCTCACGACCAAATTTTCGCTGTCTGGCTGTTTTGGTTCACAGGTGTAGTCACTGTTATCATGCGCCGATAAGAGTAGAAGCTGGTGGAAATTCCGACGCGAGATTTATGGAGTTAACATTCTACGAGAAACCGAAGAGTATTCTGATCCTGACTAGTTACGCTTTACTTCAACGAGTGGACGGCTAGAAAACAATCGTTGCCTAGCAACCATTCAATTTAGCAATTATCAGGAAACCACGTGAATGACGGTGAGTTGTACTCGCAATTTGATGCTAGCGGCCACAAGCGTCCCGGTGCTTCTTCAAAAAATGACTATGGAAGAGTGGCACGACACTGGAAAATGCGACACATCAGTGCAACGGTAAATAATTTCTAATTAGAGGCGAATAATAAAACTGATAAAAAGGTAATGGTTATTTGCGAAGTGTACTGATGCTATGCGTGGGAGAAAGAACGAAGAACACTACCCTGTGTCGCTAGCTTAGTCGGTCATCCGCCTATAACCACTCTCGCAGTCTCGGTCGATACCATTTCGCATCGCACCGTAAAATCAGTAGGTCGGTTCACTGACAACTATGATCGCTATTCGTTCTGTTGTGAGCTGAACACTGCAACAACGTCGGGCAGATGAGACTTTTCGCGATATGCGCCACTTTTTGCTAACACATTCCACAAAGTCAAATTAAAGTCGAATGCAACGAAGCGAAAAAGGGCACTATATTATGACATCTGCATATTATGACATCGGCATAACGCAAAAAAAAAACAGAAGATGACATTCAGACATAGAAATCGGTATCAAAGTCACTAATTCAAATGGAAAGGTTTGAACGAAATCTTTGAGACCTGCGCTCGTTAACGACATGGGAGACTTGGATATATCGTAAAACTAAAAATAATGTTACGGACATGCCAACAGTCTGGTTGCGCTACGCAGAACCACAGCCGATAACACATTATTCGGCATACCGAATCATCGAGGGCCTCCTGACTCCTGAGTCCAGCCTACCACTTACCAGACATTAAACTTGGATCAGCAGCCGTCGCGACAATCAATAGTCAAACACTTTCCTGAGCACAGCTGCGCTGGAAATTTCTCCACCCATCGTCATCTTGAGATCCTACTAACAAAAGTATCAACAAGAACCTTTTTCCAAGTGGCGTAAGTGGGCGCCACACACGGCCACTGCCTATCACATGTCCCGTCCGGCGGTGGATCACAGCGGCGGGCTGAGGGCCTCCTCCATGGCGCGCACGGCCCGCTCGCAGGCCGGCAGCTCGGCGTCGGTGGCGTCCTGCAGCGCGCCGAGCAGGTCCTGCAGCCGCAGCCGCAGCTGGTGACGCCGCTGCTCCGGCGGACCGCCCCAGGACGGCCGCAGCGCGCCGGCCGACGCCGGGAAGTACTTGGCCATCGTCAGAGGAGCGCTGGCGTTCCTCTCCGGCGCCGGCTGGTTCCACTTCTCAGAGAACTCCATCAGCTTGGCCACCGCCCTGTCGAACAGACGGCAGGGACCTGAGATGGGGCTGGGCTGGGACTCCTACGGACGAATTGATGCGCACAGGAATATTACTACTCGTAAAAAGCGAAAAGATGTGCTATTTATGTTCTAACCCGTACAAATTCACTTGTAACGTAGATAAGAATCCACCGATATCTGACCAAATCAATCCACACTGCCACACCCCGCTAGCCCATACTCGTAACTCACCGATCGACGCAGCGTTCGGCGGAGCCGAGGAACTCTGCGGCCACGGCGGCGTGCAGTACCTGGGCGGCGCTGTGAGAGGGCACCACCACGCCCCGCCGAAACACCGACTGCCACTCCTCCAGCAGACCCTTGCGGATCCACTTCCTGAGGACGCAGCACAGAACACGCAGATTTCACTGAGAGGCCGGGAATGGTATGTATAAAAAAAAAATAGAACAGTTGAAGCTGGCACTGGGCGTCGAATATTGGTCAAAAGTGTTTGTAAATTGTTCGATAGGTATAAGAAAAAAACAAGATTCGAACAATTAATTAAGCAACGGCAGCAATGTGAAAGATTTAAATCCGGTGCCCATTCATCCAAAAATATATCGGGAGGAAGAAGTTTTCAACACATAGCCCATATCAACGCCCATGGAATGGATGAACGGATCCCGTCCACCCAATATCTACTCACTCTTCCAGGTATGCGCCAAAGCGCTGCGTGTCGGGCCGCGTCTGCAGCTGGCGCGCCAGGTGTGCGGCGGTCCGGTAGACGGCGCGCCGGACGCCCACCTCGTCCGCCGGCGCACCGCCGCCATCCGGCTGCTCCTCGCGGCCAGTGAGTGTCATCAGCCGCGAGACGGCCGTCCACACCACCTGCCGACGGGACGGGTCCTGCCGGACGACGGACGGCAGCAGTGAGCACGGGAAATTTATGCGGGCAACAAGCTAAATACAATGAGCAGAGCATGAACACACACAATATCAAAACCCCATGAGTACTGTCCGGAAACAAGGCCTTTAACAGACAGATGAGCACCAGCTTGGCCATAATATGGTCAGCATGGATATTGGATATCTAGTCGGCCTGTGGTCACCTCCCTCACACGTGTGTGTATCCCGCCTATCCGCGGCATCCACTCACCTTGACGTGTTTGATGAGCATGGTGGAGAGTGTGGCGCGCGCCCTGGCCTGGTCGAGCAGCCGCGTCGGCCGCTGACCGGTGGCCTCGCACCAGACCTGGTGGAACTCGGAGTACTTGTCGGCCACGAAGTACCGCGGCGCCGGCAGCGGAGCTTCCAGCTGCTGCTCGGAGAGCTGCGCCAGCGCCAGCACCAGCTGCTGCGCCAGCTCCCCGCCGGGCACGGCGCTGCTCAGCAGCCAGGCCACCGGCCGCGGCGCGTCCCCGTCCCCGCGGAACGCGTACAGCGCGAGCAGCCGGCACCGGCGGCCTGTGAGCGGCGCAGAGCGCAGGGGTTATCAACAGCGACCTCTGGACACCGGGGCAGCCTGCGGTACTTATAAGTGAAAGCGAGCTGAAATTTAACTAGGTGGATAGGCTGTTCGCCATGACATGTAAAATTAATTTTATCCATTTCAAATCTGAATAATTTCCTGCTCGTAAATAACCTCTCGTGTTTTAAAAGCTAAATTAATGTCATTCAAACCCTGGACGAAAACTGCATCAAACTGCAGTAAATCAAACGAGGAGACGCCCAGTCGCTCCGTTGCCCGTCTCCCGCACCCCTACCTCCCCCCCCCCTGTCCGTGTTTCTCACCTTTGGGCGGCGTGTCGGTAACATCCATCATCAGCACCCCTCCGGGGCCGAGCTGGTGCAGCAGCTCCAGCTGACGGTCCGTGGTGAAGGCGAACACAAAGTCGCACTCGTGCAGGCCCTCCATCACGTCACCCACCTCCTTGTGGAACAGCACGTGAGCCTGCCGAGAACACATGGTGAGGGAGTGGGAGTTGCGGGTATAGGGCTGTTTTACACAGTTGCCAATGGATTTTAGAAATTTGCGCTAAAACTGACTCACAGCTATCACAGAGAGGGCAGCGAATAAGTAAATACAGACAGTACAAATGACTCATCATGTTTGTGAATTTCACCGCACCGGTAAATGAAACTCACTCTCCTTATGCGTAAAACGCAATGCGATTCCCTTCGTCCCATGGTCACTCTGCCACTCCTCTCATACAGTCCCTAGAACATCCCATCAGCCGCCCCAGCTGTGACCTACCCGACCCGCGGCCAGCCACTTCAGCTGTGACCTACCTCTCCGGTCACTGGACAGCCGCCCCAGCTGTACCTACCCCTTCGTTGTCGGCCAGCCGTTCAGCCACCGTGGTAAGCGCCGGGAGCGGGCCCTCCTCGGTCTCCGGATCGGGCCGCAGCCGCTCCGATGGTATGCCCAGTCGGTGGGCCACCTTGTACACGTGCTGTCGGCGCAGACGGAACATGGCGTTCAGCGGCGACGGGTCGTCGAGCACGGAGCGGCGCACGGCGCGCATGATCCGCTCCAGGCTCCAGCCGGCGCGCAGCGTCTCTGGAAGGGACGGAAGGGCGTCAGTCGGCGGTACAGGGACAGAGGGCGCTGGGGTGGCGGTGCGCAGACACCATGTCTGCAGCCTTATGTCTATGGCGCGCGTGCTTTGTTAAATATCGATGCCAGTTGCCACTGTGTGCCGACTGCAGATCATAAGTACTAAGCTAAATCATTCTTCGCAGTACCCATGGCAAAGCTCAATCCAAACCCCCCACTATGGAGGAATCAATGAACTCGAAACTTACCCATTAAATTGGCACTATTTGGAAAAAGGACGAAAAGCAAAACGAAAGAAGGCAAGTTTACGATAAGCTCGGAGAAAATGATACCATTGCTAGGGGAAGTACACTATTTAGTCAGCTCATTTAGCCAGCGGAGCGGCTGGGTCCGGCCGTCGCTCACCCTCGAGGAAGCGTCGGGTGGTCTCTGGCAGCGGCTCCTTGGTCCTGGCGGCCGCCGACTCGTCCAGCCGGTGCCCGTAGTGGGTAGTGTTGACGGTCACGGTCACCGGGCCGTCGCTCTCGGGCCTGCACGCGCGCACGTACGAGGTGCAGATGACGCGGGTGGCGGCCGGCGGTCCGGGCGGCCGTCCGCGGCGGCCCGACGTCCGGCGGAGCCTCCAGCCGCCCCGGCGCTGACTGGCCGGCGGCTCGGCGCCCGGACAGGTCAGTCGCAGCTGAATCAGCTCGCCGGAGTCGGACACCTGACGCTGCAGGCGCCGGTACCGCGTGCCCGTCTCATACTCAAAGTCGCTCTGCCACGCCGTCATCTCTGCCAGAGAACAGGAGACCAGTGTGAACAAGGCTTACCGATCAATTATTCCTCATCATTGGCATAATTTTCGGAAGAAGTGTCGCCTTTTAAGTTTTGTATGTTTTTTTATAAATATCTGGATTACATGGTAGTAGACAGAAATTACACAGACAGACTGCAAACAACCGTCAACAATAGCGATCAATCGCGATTTTTAACCATTGAATATTCCACAACGAACACAACTGTGATAGCTGGTAAAATAATGGAACTGTGTGGCTCACCGTCCCAGTCCTTGAAGATGAGTTTCACTACGTCCATCTGGATGTTGTGCTGCTGGGTCAGGTGCTTGCAGAGCGTCTTACAGTGCGAGGTCGTGAAATCGCACCCCACCTCCGCGCAGCGCAGACTATCCCGCGTTTTCTGGCCGACAGGGAAAGGACAGTAGCTGATTATTAAAGTGGAAGGGTGTCTGTTCACATTTCAGATAGGAAGATGACATGACACTGACATAAAATGTATGAGCAATCTTCTATGAAAATCTTCGTAACTGCCTAAAAATTCGTTATGTCCGTGAAACTCACCACTGCCACGCTATCGCTGTGGTACGTGCGTTGATGCGCCTTCAAACTGGCCTTGTTCTTGTAGCGACAGCCGCACAAATCGCAGGGCTCCGGCTGCGGGAGAAAAGATAAGCATAAATTTTAAAAAAAAGATTCCACATCGATTAGAGTTGCTAGCAAGATTGCGAGCTGATGTACCTCGAGTTAAACCGAATTGTATCGACAGCTGTCCGCCACTGGACGTCTGCCGCAGCTGCGTACCTTGCTCATGTCGACGGCTCGCTTCCTGACGAGGCGGCAGATGGTGCTGGACGGACCGTCCGCGCCGGCGCCCGCTGAGGTGCCCGGCGGAGCGCCGTCTGACGGTCCGCTGTCCGCGGAGGTGCCCGGCCGGGCGCCGTCCGACGGTCCGCCGTCCGCGGAGGTGCTCGGCTGAGCGCCTTCCGACGGTCCGGCGCCGGCGTGGGACAGTGCCGAGCGACTGAACGCCTCGGCCGTCTCCATCAGCAGCGGGTCGGTGACGATGCTGCCCTGGTCTGAGGACGGAGCCAAGGCTGTCACTGAAGCTGTCACGTGAGGAGTGGTGGGAACAGGTGGGACCAGCATGGGGGCTGCACAGATGCCATTGTTCTTTTTTTAGGAAACATTCTTCTTTTTGGGAAGACTTCATTCTCCAGAGAACTCCGAGCACACAATTAATATAAAGTTGTTGAATGTTTATCAATAAACGCATCCACAACAGCTTAGGGTTTAGTTTACTGACCCTAAGCTGCTAGTTTAGCTTAGGTTCAGTTTAGTTTACAGCTTAATAATACACAAAAAGTCAAGAAATACACATAAATACACATAGGAAATACACATAAGTCAAGTAGGTACATATCTGAATGTCAGCGATGAATCATCTCATTTTTCCTCAGCTATTCAGCACTACACTACATCTAAAAAAATATATCAAAAGTGTGTATCATAATACTATTGCCTCCCTGAGGCCTGAAGTAGCAACATCTCAGCTATGAAAAGGATCAGGGTTATGCTTCATCAATGATGACTCACCACCAACTTCCTCTGCTGGCACTAGCCCAATAGGGACAATGGTCCCATCAGGCTGCTGTGCAAACTTAACAAATGCCATCCTTGAGGTATCAGCCTCCACAGTTTCAGCATCTTGCTGCTGGTCCTCAGATGTATATTCCTCCACCTCATCCACAAAGGCAACTTCATCATCTTCACCTATCATTACATCATCATCACCTCTCAGGACCTGTATAGTGTTACTATTACCATCATCTGATATAAAAAATGACTGGACATCACCACACTGCATATCCATGATACTTGCTCAACAATCTGAAAACAAAATGGTAAATTTCACTTTGATTTGGAAAAGTTGCAGATGGATGATGGATCAGAGTGGAGCACATCAACATATATTCATAATTCATATATATGTAGCTAAGGAATTGGGCATAAATGTCAGGTAATACAAAAGTGACAACAAAACCATGACACAGGAGTTCAGAAATTGTCAAAAAGCAGGCTAAACTAGTAACTAAATCCTAAGCAGCAGCCAGTTCCAATTCCCAAGATATATGTATTGGTAAATGTCAAGATAAAGTCCTAAGAAGATTTCAAGGATAATTTTTCACATTATATTATTTGACATCCTGAATCCAAAAATGATACTTACATGTCTTGCAAATATAAGGAAAAAACATAATCAAACCTGGCCTAATCTTACCTACTTACTTACAACCTACAACCTACAAACCTACAACCTACAACCCTACCAACCTACAACCCTACCAACCTACAACCTAAAACATACAAACCTACAACCTAACCTGACCCCTACAAACTAAAATTTCCGCTGTTTCATATTTGTATTAACAGCTCCACAATTGTAGATCTGACCTTATGTTGACAAATATTGATATGGTATTGAAGATGAATAATTTATTTTTGATTGGTGGGATTTATATGATGTGAAAATGTCATCTGTTAACTTGGGCACAGTTGACTATCACCATAGCTCTGTTCGCCCCGTTTATTTATCAGCAGGCTGCGAGCATGCTGTTACTTCTTGGCTTCTCATTGGTCGAATTCAAGTGGTCTATTCGTTAGACCAATGAGAGGCCAAGAAGCGCCAGCAATAACTTCCTTATATGGGAAAAACCGACAGCACGCTTATACAAAAACAGCGAGCGAACAGGGCCCATGGTGTCCTGTCTGCTAGCAATTCAAAAGTAAACATCAATATCTTCCACAGTCAGGACATAAAATTTGTGAGGGTAGTAGGAAGTAGAAGCCTGCAAACAGTAACAAGTCTACATATTTTGCATGGTAAAATTAGGCTGAAGCCATCTGAGACTGACCATAACTGGCTTTGCTAGGCATGATCACAATCTGCATCGGACGGATTCAGGACAGTGACACTGACTGCGCAACCTCTTCTCAGTGTGAGTTTTGGCTTTGAAATAGGTAACGATAGTACATCACTTTCATGCCAATTCATTGAACTTTTTAAGGTGGGAGGCTGGAGGGTCCCTTCAACATACAAAAAAGGCAAGGATGAGGAGCTCGTTCTACCCATCACCATCATTAACAAAAATCAAAATTATTAAAAATCAATTGACAAGCAAACACACAGCGCGCACAACCGAACCAAACTAGGCAACAATAGACGCGTTTACATAGGGTTTGTTGCAAGCTTATATCTCCGTCCGTGATGTTGCAAAAGATGCCAATGGTGCTGAACAATTTACAAAATGATTATCGCCAAATTAACGAGCTAAAGCCTCGTCAAATATGCCATGTAAGCCGGGTTTATGACATCGAACATTTCAATTATTGCTTATTATACATTTAAGTCAAACTAATTCACCTATATTGAGCAAACAGAAATAAATAACCACATTTACAATTAGTCCACCGAATTTTTTTGCTCAGTATTTGCCAAGGCTCTAAATAGCTCATACGGCTCATACCCTGCTAAATAGTTTTTTTTTTTAGTGGCCCTAACTTACGATAAACCCCGCGTTCGATGTCTCTCGGACGACGAAGATTCTACGTCGTCCGGCCAATCAGAGGGGGCTCGGCTACGGTTATGGAACGTGATTGGCCGGAAGGCGTAGAATCTTCGTCGTCCGAGAGACATCGAATGCGGGAAAATTCGCGTGGCGCGAATTTGAAGCTGGCTTCAAGCACGGAATATATAGGATGAGAAGACGATTTTGAATAGTTCAGTTTGCTTAAATAAATTTTTTTTTGCGATGTATATATTACTTTTATTCTCAAAATGATCAGAAAGGAAAACAAAACACGCCGATCAAATTGAAATTTAAAGATGCATAGACTCGCACGAAGTTGTAGACAAAAACAGCGCATTTGATATAAGCTGTCTGCAAGCGGCACGAGTTCAGTGAGCGGCACGCAAGCGGATTTGCTGGAAGTTTTGTCTCTACGCTCAGGCTGCATTCCTAGCATTCTTCTACAAGGGACGCATTCCTCCACGAGGGACTCTTTTCAGAATCAGAAAAATATCTTTGCTAGGGTGATCGCTGGGGCGTAAAAGCTCCTGATTTATGCTTGTCTAAGCTCAAGCTACAAAACTGCTATTCCAGCTCAAAACTCTCGTGGGCACAAGGATAAATGGTATTTCCATTGTCCAAGGGCTGCGAAGTCGATGGATTTACGCTGACTCCGATTTTGACTCTAACTTCGGCTTTCAAAACTCCGACTCCAGACAGAACTGTCGACTTTGAACCGACTCCAACTCCCTCCGACTCACTCCGCCCAGAGTGGCGGAACACCTTCATGCCCTTTTTGGTCCCATTCTCATGCAACGCCCGTAGGGCTAATGTTAATGTCAAAATCAAGGGGGCACGGTGCCCCGGTGCCCCCCCCCCCGTCCTGCCGCCTATGACTCCACCTACACAACCCTGCCATGTCTGCGAAGTCGATGGATTTTCGATGACTCCGACTCTGACTCCGGTTTCGGTTCCCCAAATCGACTCCGAGTCCGACTCCTTCTCGGATCAGAACTTTCGACTCCGACCGACTCCGACTAGCCGACTCCGCAGCCCTGGGTGTGTTCAAACAGCAATGTGCTGAAAGTACCTTTTTGTTCCTACTTAGGTATAAATGATGGATGCAGTTTACAAATTGCATAAGTATTCCATGTTGTTCTTTTGGGTGTTACTTTAAGATAGGTACCTACCTACCATAAGCGTAACTTTATATCTCTTTGTGGGTGCTCAAGCACCCCCAATCCTGAGCTCAGCACCCCCTGCCTTCTTAAAGCACCCCCAGCCTCCTCAAAACATTCCCAGCTGACTCAAGGCCCTCAATAATCAGAATGTCCATCTCCTAGTACTGTAATGAGCCCAGTGAATCATGCAAATACCTACTATGCTTACTCAATTCAGTGACTAAGATAATATACATTGAATAAATCACCACAACTTAAGATGCATGATATTTGTGTTAACCCTCGCATGTGTAGGGTGGGGGGTCGGATGGACCCCCCCCCCCATGGTTTTTCGCGAAAAACTCGCGTAAAAAGCGGCCGATCGCGACGAAACTTTCAGTACCCTCGCATTGATCAATTTTACACCTACCCTGAAAATTCATGACCCTGACCCAAATGACCTTTGACCTGTGACCTCTTTTCCGAGACCATGTTTGGCCGGAATCGCGATTTCGCGTATGTCGGCTCGCACTAGCCGCGTGTTTGCAAGCTTTTCGTGGTTTCAAACGTTCAAACATGTGATTTGATGTTACTCCCGTGTGTGTCAAGGTCAGCTGAAGGTCAGGTCAGGTCATTGACCTTTGGTGACCTCGGGTGACCTCGGTTCACTTTTTCGAGTTTTACATATTTCTAGGCTAGTTTTTGGAGCTGAATTCGAATTTAGCAACCATTTGAACATTTACGAAGTAGTTTTGGTGCCTTCGTAACATGTTACGAAGCTGTCAGAGGCGGTTGACACGTACTGCGAATACCCGTCACGACGCCTAATGGTTGACCTGACCTGACCTGACCCGACTTGGTCTAAATGCTTAAAGACATCATCTGTGATCAAAACTAACACGATATTCGTGATCAGCACCCCGAAAAACCCCTTAGCAGCCACACTTTACGACTTTCTAATAGGTCCCGACTTTGGGTCATTGACCTGACCTGGAAGGTCAACCAATGACCTAGGACCTTAAAATTGGGTATCATCGGCTTCCTCTCGTCACGGGCAACACGCTCGTTTTTTCCGCGAAGCTCTAGTTCGATCAGGGGCCAAACGGCAAGGGGGGGTCCAACCGACCCCTCCCCCCTACACATTAGAAGCTGGAAAACGCCGCACACATGCGAGGGTTAACATTACATCTGATATTATCAGGGGCCCGCGAACGATTTTCCAGAATTGGAGGATCAAAAGCATGCGATAGCATGCTTTTGCATCCGGAAATTCCCATTGGTGGGTCGCTGAAGAAAAGTTCGGCCAAGCCTGTTTGTCAGTATGTGAGTGAGTATGTGAGTGAGTATGTGAGTTTGTCCAAGCTTTTCTGGACCTGGAGTCAAAATGGGTGGACCGATCGGGACGAAAGTGGGACCGTTCGACTCGTCTCCGGCGAGGTAAACTTTTGGTACTGGCCTCGGTTCGCTCAGTGCTTCGTGGCACATGCTATTCCGCTTCAAAGTTTCGGTGACACGAAATTTTTTGTCAAGGCTACAGGTCAACCCGAGGTCACGGACAAAGCCACACTGGCGGGACACATCGGTAACACCTTGAACCAGTTTCCAGGGGGGTCACCGTCTGCGAGGGGTGCAGGCTGCACGTGCTGGGGGCGGAAAACCGTTTTGACGTGAGGTCCTCTGGCTCAAAGAAATTTTGAGCTATCAACCTCAAAATCGGTTCAATGGTAGTCTCAGGCAAGGCCTCCAAAATAGTGCACATTTGGTTGAGCTAAACTCTGTGGTGCATGAGCTATGTACTTGCAAGCCGATTGCACCCCTTCGTGCGTTGCCACGCCTGCAGGGTAAACGGCCGCTCTAACTGGTTCAAAACTTGCAGGTCATAAGAAGAATACATTGGGTCATAACATTCCGGCGAGATAATATCCGAGGGGTGCAAGCTGCGCGTGCGGGGGGCGGATAACGGTTTTGACTAGGGATCCTCTGATCCCGGGAAACGTCGATCTAGCGACACAAAAGTCGGTACACTGATAGAACTAGACACACGCTACATGATGTTATGAAAATGACTGCACTGGGGTGCCTGGGACATGAACTATGCACGTGCAGTTAATTCATACCATACTGTAGGTAGATATCCGCACCAATCTCACGTGCTTCGAAGCATTTTTGGGATGTTTCGTTTGGTTTCAGGTTCAGTCCAAGCTCAGTCTGGGTTTCGGTGGTTTGGCCCGGTGTGTGCCCTCAGTACCGTTCCTCCAATTCTGGCCCAAGGCAACGCAAGAGCGCTGCCGGCATCTAGTTAAGTTGGGGGGGGGGGGGCGAGCCTAAAATACCTGACATGATGCATATGAAACAGTGGCATAGCTAGGGGTCTAAGGGGACACGTACCCCCTCCCCCCATCGAGTTCAAAGGGACCCTCGGGTCCGAGAGGCCCTGCGGCGCCATTTGACCGCTGAGGGTTAACGATGGCCATATTTCTACTCAGAAGGGCTCCGTGGGGCTCGTTAGAGCACCTCATGGGCCCTAAATAGCCACACTAAGGTCTCCATAAGGGCCCCACGCCGACTTCTGAGGGCCTCTTGCGGCTTTTAAGGACACCTCGGTGGTCTCCAAAGGCCCGTTAAGCCTGAAACAGACTCTTTCCGCAGTCAGGAAATCGCATGCGAGAGCCTATTCAAATACATGGAAGCACGCTCGCATCAATCGCACGCACCTCCCGCGAGCGATTGATGCGAGAGGAATTACAATGTATTTGAATAGGCTCTTGCATGCGATTTCCTGAACGCGGAAAGAGTCTGCTTCAGCCTTTACTGGCCTCTGAGAGGTCTTACCGGCCTATGAGGGGACAGTTCTAGGGGCATTTCCCACCTGTGATGGTCCCACACTTATTTTTCTGAGGGCCCCATAACGGCAACTATGGGGCCCTCCTCGGTGCCTATGAGGGCCCACACCGGTGTCTCTGAGGGTTTCACACCCCCAACTCCGAGTGCCTACACCAGTGCCTATTAAAGCCCTATATCGGCGGCTCTGAGGACCCAACCAACACCTGCGCATCTAAAGGCCACCCACTGATGACTTGAGGGCTCCACAACGGTGACCCTGAGGGCCCCACCGGCTTTTGACAGTACCATGCCGGTCTCTTAGGACCCCGCAGGACTTCTTCTGCCGGCCTAAGGCAATGTCCCAAAATTTGTCGATTTGGGTGGGAAACGACATCCAAATGAAATTAATTTTCCACTCTCACCACCAATTTTTAAGAACAATTTTCCACTCCCAACCAAGAAAACCTAGATTTTTACCTATAGAAAGAGCAGTTGTGTGGATGCCCGGTTCGGACCATTAGTTCCGGAGATAACAGGGGGGTAAAATTTAGCCCCCCAGCCCCGCGCGTTCGGCTGGAGACCCCAGCCCCGCGCGGGTTAATGCATTAGGTGAGCCAAAATTGTTTTAGAGTGGCGCTATAAAAACAAGCTCTCGAACCGATTTAACATCATTTCTTGCATGATGCCTGATGGCTACAGTAAAAAAGAACAGTTAAAAAAAAAACTACGAAAACTATGGCATGCCTTTCTGAAAGCTATTGAGCACCCCCAATGATTTTTGGAAAACTACACCCATGCTACCTACCTATACATCGCTAAGCTTGGTAAGGTTTTCATGGTAGACACTATATGGTAACTAGACAGTAGTGAGTAGACACTATATCATCTAGCAGATTCACTACCGAGAACCGACTATACCGAGACCGCGCCAGATGGGATCAGGGATTATAAATGGTTCTAGATTTGGCTTAGCTCATCACCAACATGGGAGATCAGCAGCAGTAAAAAGCTTCTGAGCGGGTACCTATGTCTATGATGGGTATGGCCGAGGAGTGGCGTGTGAATATGATAAAGGGGAAAAGATATGACGCCCACCCTCATGCCCATGTGGGCTGTGGCGCCTCTCCCCGGCCATGCATGCCGCTGAGCTACTCATTGGTATTTCCCTGGCTCTTGCGTTCTTGCCACCCGAGTACCTATTCCTTCCAGCTATCGGCCTTTAGAGTTCAGTGCCCTCTTGTGTGAGTCGTGCCATAGGTATCCAATCTCGTGCACCATCTAAAATAAGCATGCCCATTTTGCCCCAAGTCTGAGCCAGACACTGATAACATTGTCTTTTAAAAGCATAGGTCATGCTATGTTTTAGGGCCTTGGGTCATGCTGCATCATGGCGCGGGAACTACTTTCAGACTGGGGGGGGGGGGGCACACCATAATGGAGATGAACCTAGGGTACCCCCAAATCTAGTTTTCTCACCGGTTTTAGGCCACTTATTTTTCATCCCTTGGCTTTTTCAACAAAAAAGAAAAAACATTTGCAAAAAAGTGCGGTATTTCGTCTCAAAGTTGCGGGGGCCCCCCACGGCCCTAGAGTTGGGGGGGGGGGGGGGGGGGCAAGCTGCCCCCACTGCCCCCCGGCTCCCGCGCCTATGTGCCGCATGCTGCATATTTTACGCGCCGCTACCTTGAAATTTTTGCTGGGGTCGTAAAACGGCTGTTCCGTCAAAGCGTGGAATATGTCGATTGTACAAAAAAAAGATAAACTTTAACGGTTTTATCAGCATCTTATCATTTTTTGATAAATACGTATTCAATTATGCATTTGTTTACCAACTATCGTGTAGTTTACACCGGGCACCAAAGATATAAAACCCTGGGCTGGCAACTACGCATGCATGGGCTGGGTTCGTACGTACCAATGAAAAGCCGCCACTCTAGTGACGTCACAGGTGACGTTCGTCGCCCGCCGGCCGCGGGCCGCGGCAGATGGCGCTCATTGACGTCGAGGAGTCCGAGGGGTGAGGGTGCACGCGCGTCCGCTCGTGGTTTGTGCCGCTGCCCGTTCGTTTCGTTCGGGACTCAGTCACAGCAGTGTCCCACGTCGTCTGTGAGAGTGACGAACTGGCTTTCCCCGTGGAAAGCGGTCCCAAGGGAGATACGCGTGGCGCACAACAGCATGCGAGTGTGGACGGATATCTTGCAATGAGGTAAGTGAGCACGTGACGTGGAGTGTTACCTGGAACCGCTGACGTCGGGGAGCCGAGGCACTGTCGATGTGTGACGCGATGTCTGGTGACTACTGGCCGTTTTTACGGTATTTTTAGGCTAATGCGCGGGCAGATACGCACGTGGATAACGGGATCTGTGTAAGTGTGTACGAACATGCAAATGACACGAACTGTGAGAGCGTGCCCGGAGGCCGGAACCATTTTTATTGTTGCGTCACCACGGGTCTGGGGTGTCAGGATCTGGATGGACTCATGTCCTGAAGCGCCGCTGTCAAAAATTGTGGCCTCAACCGCTTTACTCGGAGTAATAAGTACGGTATCATTTTCGTCTCTTCGTCGAGTCGTCCCGCCCAGAAAAATCGGTTTACTCGAATTCGACGGTCGACGGATCTGATATGCTTATTTATGTCAGAAGACCAGCTAATTTTTAGTTGGAATTGTGTTTGTTCTCCAGTCTTTTAAGACTTTTTCAGCTGGCAAATGCTCATGTATCATTGTAGGTACACTTGTTCTGTGTATCCAGCAACTTTTTTTTTTGGTGAGGCCGTAAACTGATTGCATTCAGTCCGTCCGTCAGTAATCTTTTCCGTCCGTGCTTGGACTGCTTGGGGCCCCGATTTTTTTTTTTTAGCACACCGTAATTCTGTTTCTCATTATCCTAACTCCTAAGCATTGATTTCGCATCGCAAATAGGTACCATTTTTCGTCTCAGAATCCAATGATGCAACTGATTTCATCAAATCTATCGAATCCTCTGGCCCTGTCGCCTGTCGGGTCCGGCGTTGTCCCCAAAACTATCCCTGGTTTTCTGCCTCGCTCCTTTTATTGCTGAATATAGTGTTCGCCGCACTCCCTCACCCAATCACCGGTTGCACCGCACGGGTCACACTGGTGACACAGAGCCCGCCGCCGCGGCGGCGGTCATGTGACGCCATAAGTCCCTGCCGCCGGCGTGATCTCACCGTGTGGTTTGTCGCGGTTTGTCCGTCTAAACGGCTCGTCGTGTAGTACGGCGGGCCGTCTCCTGGGCGGTCTCGGGAGACTGTCACGGGGTCTCTGTGTATGGGACGGTTGGGGCGGTCACCGGTGGTTATTTGGGCTGGGTTGTTCGTTTTCCTCTCTTTCTCTCCCTGCCTCTCTCGGTTTGGCTCCCGCCCTCGGACCCTGGCGCCTCTCCCGTGGGGGCGGCACGGAGGATTCTCGGGATCAGGCGGAGCCCACAGCACGGCCCGGTGGTGTGCACGGCAGCTGCAAGCACGGCGGGACGTGCCGGAGACCGTGACGGTCCCCACGGAGTCCACCGTCACGTCACATCGCGCTCCGTGACGTCGTCTCGTGATGCTTTGTAACGCTGTCTCGTGACGCAGCTGGCTACAGATAGGATATGTAATGTATTGGTCATTCTCTCCGTTATATCTCCAGAGCAGCCCGCTGGTGGGTATAGCGTGTCGAGGTGGTGGACAAAATTTGCATTCGTAATTACTCAGTCTCCCTGTCGTCCTTTATTTGTGTCGCGTGCGTTGACGATACCCACTCGACCGGTGAGCGTGATGAGTCAGTTGGACTGTTTGACTGATTCGTACACCGTCTACGCTGAATCGGACAGCATAGGCGCTCTCCCGTCCTCCGTTGTCGCGTTTGTACCCTGAGATGTGGTGAGCATGGGTACAGTTTTGTAGGGGAAGTGTAATCTTGGGGCAGCTCTGTAGTCCGGACCAGCCATAGCGCTGTTCGGCAGCCGGCTATTTTGTGTGCAGGGTATGACGTATTTCGCGAGCCGACGTCACAGGCGGTGACGTCGGCTCGCGCGCGAGCCGAGCGCCAACGACAAACTAACGGGAACCCTCGGACACCCTCGGGGCATAAACCGCGGAGTAGCATATTGAGCGAGTCTTATAAGGAAAATTCATATATTTTCGTTTCTCAAATGATAATCAGGGTGTCTCTTACCTTTTTACATATCATTTAGGCTTGCCTAACACTTCAATTGCCAAATATCTGCAATTTATTCAAGCGAAGGTATTTTCATTAAATATCAATGGTATAGACCGAAATCTTTTGAATAAAAACTCCAACCAACAGAAATAAAAATAACTTAATTTATTCCAACCATTTCCTCCAAATAAACAACATAAAAACTCACTTTTACACACATCATTCATAATAAAGCATACTAACACGCCGATTTTGACAATTGCGGCGTCGAGTGGCGCGATGCTAGCGCTCTTTTTCGATCGCAGAGACCCTGCACGCGCGCGAGCACACTACGTCACGTCCGGGGGGCACAGGTATATGAAAAATCGCAGTGACGTAACACTTTTCTCGCTTCTCATTGGTCAATAGCCCGTTGCCGGGGTAACGTGCACGTATGTGAGCGCGGGCAAGAGTACTAGCCGGCCGCCGATCAGGGCTCATGTCCGCGTCTGCGGCTGTTTTCCGTCGTCTGTGCCGCGGGCCGGGACGGGGAGGGACGGGACTAACGAACGACGCCCGGACCGGGCCGGCGTCGCCCGCCCCGTCCCAGTTTCGGAAGGGCGACGCGCCACCCGCCGGCACGGGAATCTGGCCCCTAACGACAGGTATGTCAATTTCGGGAGGGGATCGTGTTTGATTTGGTCGATAAGCTGTTTTTGGTGGACAACGGGTTGGCCGCACCGAGTCGAGATAGATGTGGCGGTCGGGGCGCGCCCGACGCCAAGGTAGTCGTGAAGGTCGCCCGGCCGGTCGTCCGGCCGGCTCCGACCGCTGACCGGCCGCCGGAGCTGATCGGTGACGTCACGGGGGGGGGGCGGGTGACGTCACCGGGGCACTGGGATCGGATGACGCTCACCGGGCGACATTCCGTCGCCATCTGGGCTGCTATCGGTGACCGCCCTGAGCTGGCGCCGCTGCTGACAGCCGGCCGCTGTTGTCCGAGGCCGGGCGGCGGACGGCAGCTCTCGGACGGCAGCTCTCGGAGGCAGCTCTCGGACGGCAGCTCGGCAGCTCTCGGAGGCAGCTCTGCAGCTCTCGGAGGCAGCTCGGCACCTCTCGGACGGCAGCTCTCGGACGGCAGCTCTCGGTGGCTCTGGCGGCCGGCGCGCTCAGGCGTGACTGGGTCTCGTGCAGGAATGTGCCGGCCGCCTCTGAGATGGATCACCGGCGCCGGCCAGCCGGGCAGTGGAGACGGCGGCAGAGCAGAGCACAGCGCCGGCCGAGACCGCCGCCCCCCTACCGCTCCACCTGGCCTTCACGGGACCGGGAGGGGAGAGGGGTAATCCACCCAGCGTGTTTGGCTGGGTGTCCAACAGGCTAAAGTGGCGTGTCTGATAAAACGGCTATTAATTTACAATCTATCATAACTGGGAACGAGGAGTCCGAGTTTCCCATTTTGCAAAGTTACGGCGAGCAAACTTCACGAACCTTTCTCACCTTTCATGGCGGTGAAATCTTTCATAAACCAACTTGGACTGCAGTTATTTGAGATTCTTCAGTTCGGTCCTGAATAATCCGTGACGTGACCTTCCCCAACTTTTAACCCGTTTCCCAAACGACCGAGTCTAGGGATGAGCTAGGTCAGACTTTCTCGCGTCGTACGGAGCTGCGAGGCCACAGCTGCGCAGTTGAACCGCTCCCGACGGGTGCAGTTGCGAGGGGAAAACTGGCAGCCGCATGGGTCACCGGGAACTTTGAACCGTGCACGCACTAGACTGGGGTCATTGGGTTTTGCGGTTTATATGCACTGACGGCGAAGGAAAGTCAGAGCCATCATGCGCCCCTACAGTCATGAATAGGTGAGGTGCTGTAGGCATGACGCATCAACGACCTGTGATTCATTTCTCTTCCTCGCCTTATCTCGCCTTTGTTTCTCGACTTTTAACTGATAGTCTCCTCAGCTCTTCATGCCTTTGTTGTGGGTCTGAAGTCCCTTTCATTGGGAACTGACGCATTGAGAGCGACGGTGGCGTCTTATCTACTCTTTTTGTGTCGGGTAAACTTATGTCTGTATGGCGTCCTCAGTGTTCGCCACTGAGGCTGAGGCTGACGCACTGCGGCTGCTTTTGCGTCACGGTTGTGTATGCCACAGGTGAACGCACCGAATATGACGTCATGGGCTCATGGCGCCGTCTGTATAACGATACGAGAGCGGCCATGCCAGTAGCCAGGGCCTGGCTCTACTGCGTTGTCAGACCCGGTGTCTATAGGTCTGCTATCTCCGGGCTTTCGGGCGCGACGCGACGCAGTGTCTATCGGAGGTGAGGTGCAGATAGTGGGCCGGCGGTCCCTGGGCGCTGCGCTGCTGTTATCGTTCGGCGGCGCCGCGCCGCTCCCGCCCCCCCCCCCCCTCCTTACCCCTCGCCCGCCCCACCCACCGTCCCGCCGCCTCGGGACGCGTGTCTTGCGTCCTGTGTCCTGCGTCCTGTGTCCTGTGTCCTGTGTCCTGTGTCCTGTGTCCTGTGTCCTGCGTCCTGTCTTGTCCACAGTTGCCCCAGGATGCTGCTGTTGTGGTCGATTTAAGAACGGAAATGCCTGGCACTTATCTCTACTGTTTTAAACATTTCTTCGGAAGCGGGAAGTTGCGAACAAAATAAAACACCAACACGACCGGTACTGGGCGGGTATCGCAGTTTTTGCCGGATATAATTTGCAACCGCAAGATACTGATTGAGCTCCAAAGGGAAACAGGCGGTTCTCGGCGGGGAATACGCTGCTAACTACTCAGCTGAGCGTTTTGCTGCGGCGAGCTGCCGACTCAACTCAGTGCTGATTCAGTTTTGGAGGGGTTTTCGTAAGCAGCGGGGTTGTTTCACTCGTAAGCAGCTCCTTGCGTGGCGTGCTCACCTATACCTGCCTGCCCTCAATGGCCGAGCGGGTGAAATGCTTGCCCGGTGGCTCGCTTGGTTGGGTTCCTCACGGACGGGACAGGCGTGTGTCAGTCATCTGTCATTCAACTGACAGGGGCTCGCTTGGAACGATCGGCCTCGCTCAGCGCGGTGTCTTGCGCAAAGCTGTCTGTTGTCAAGGTCTATTAGTATTGACGGAATAGTGAATACGGAGTTTGAGTCGAGGTCATTGGGCTACTTACATTTATCAAATCTTGACCACATCATTGACACCTGCTGAATAAAGAGCGCGCTGTCAGCCGACCTGACGCCAGGTCACGAGCTCGCCACAGGTCGCCTGGTGTAACCTGTTGCGACACGTCTGGGCTGCTCCCCTCCCGGCGGGTCCGGGAAAGGGGAGGGGTTGGTGGCCTTTGCAGAGGCACGCGCCTGCATTCCGCCGTCTCGTGACGTGACGTCTGGGGAGTGTTCGCCGGGGTCGGTGACCTGTCCACTGTCGCCAGCCGTCACCAAGTCCCATCAAACGTCAGGAGCCGCCACCAGCAGTCAGAAGGCGTCACCAGCAGTCAACATGGATCACCAATGAGCCATAGAAGCGTCGCCTTACTTCAATAGCTCGGCAACTTTGTCTCGCTCGGCGGCAGTGCAGCGACGCGCCGCCTCTAGGAAAGGGAAGGGGAGGGATGACAAACCGTCCAAAACTGCACCAACCGCCGCCCTGATGGCGCCGGGAGCGAAGCCGCCGCACCGCCGGGGACGTCTGATTTATTTCCAGTTTCTCGGTTTTTGTCGTTTCAATTCTCGTCGTTCATTCGAATTTCCTCCCTCTACCATCATCCCTTCCGTTTATTTCCGTTCCTTTATCTTCTTGTGGCTTCCATCGCATTCAGATCCGTTTTTCATTTCGCGCCGTCGTGGTTTCCTGTTTAGTTCCCCGTCTCGTGTTGTTCATTGTCGGTTCATTTTCCCACCACCCTTTATCTGGGGCGTTTTTAGCGGCGTGTCTCGCGCGGCGATGCGTCCTTCACGGCCGGGCCGCGCCGAGAATGGCAGGGTGACGCAGCACCGGTGCCGACGGCGGCGTTCCCACGCGGCCGAAAACCGAGCCGGCTCCGTCTCAGTTGTTCGCCGTCTCTCTCCAACGTCCGCCGTCTCCGTATGTTTGAAGTCTGCCCGCGAGCCGGCGGCCCCCGTCTGACCAGACTGGAGAATGGAGAGAGAGGGTGCCCATAAACCCAGCCCCTCCTCTCCGCCCAACCTGTCTGGCCCATTTTCATGTCGTGCTGGCCATAATTCATACGGTAATCGGGGCAGTGGCAAAAGCTCGAGGCAACGGCTGTCCAAGTGCCTCTGTAAAGCAAATGGCTGGCGTGATAAACCCAGTAGGCACGGCGCTAGGTAATTGGAAACGCCTACTTGTCTGCAGCTCGTTGTGATATTGAGCGACGAGCGCCCGACCGCCACCTGTCGTGCTATTCTTCAAGACGTCACCGTCGCCGTCTGTTGTCCCGTTCGCCGGCTTTGAACTCCTGGGTTATCCTCGTGGCTCCTTGAATCCCGGCCTTATCCACTCAGGTCCGCAGTGGAGCGGCTCGTAGTGGCCGGTGTGTGCTCCAGTGAGCGGCCACCTGTTGTCAGTGTCACTGTCCCCAGCCGCCGTCACACAGCCGGTCTGCCCGGCGGTTTGTAGCCAGCGGGCGGCGGCGGTTGTCTACAGGGCGGCTCAGCGGAGACTCCTCTGATCCCCGCTGCAGACGCGGCCACCGAGCCGAGCCGAGCGCGCTTCCAGCTCGCCGGACTCGGCCACTGGCCGGATCCGGCATTCCTGGCGACTTTCGCGGCGCTCGGCCGTCACTGGAATGCGGTGGCGACGGGCCGCCGGCTGGCTGACCGGTGCTGGCCGGCTGACCGCTGCCTGCCGGCCCCGTCGACCTGTCGGGCGGGTCAGTCTGGACCGACCGGTCAGCGCAGCGTGGTGGGCCGGGCAGCGTTGGGTAGACAGGGTAGATGACTAGGGCGCTGAGTTACTTTATATAACCACCTGCCAACTAACCAAGCTTATAATCAAACCCAAACGCGGATCAACACAATCAACCAGTGAAAGCCTCGACGTTAAACAACCCAGACAATCCAGCCTGTCAGACTAGCCCAGCACACGAGCTGTATACCTCGCTAACTAGCGCTGATCCGTACCTCCGCGCCGGTATTGTAACCAGTCTATCGTGCTCGTTTTTACGGCCGTGCAACGGCCTCATCTCGGCCGTTTGTCCTGCGAGCTGAGGCGGCGCGGCGCGGTCGGACCCGTCCCCCAGCTGTCCAACAGGATGCACCCCGCGGTCGCAGTCGCTCTGTAAAAACGTCGCCACGACGAGCGACGCTCTTTGGAGCTGGTTGGTCGTCCACTGACCGCGGCTGGCGAGCTCGAGATGGGTGAATTGAGCTCGGGGAGGACTGGCGAGGGCCGGCGTGGGGTGAGCAGCGCCCGTTCGTAGCGCACTGCGAGTACGAGGATCGTCAGCGCGGCGCCAGCAGTGATGTCACGTGTGCAGGCGACGCTGGCGGCGCCCCGGACCAAACACCGACCTCACAGCGCGTGTACTGAGCCCGCTGAGCCGCGCCGGGCCCCGTCGTTTTTTCCGTCCCTCGCAGTTGGTCTGAGCTGACGCACAGAGCCGTTGCTGGTCATATCGGCCGTAGCTGCGCCTTGTAACACGCCAGAGCACGTCAGAGCCCGGCACGGCATCGCACGGTTTGAGTTCAGTCTGCATTCGAGCGTGCACCGATTGCGATTAGGCGTGGAACGGCGACTGGGCAGGTCTGAAACCTCGCCGGTGTATGGCGGACTTACAACCGACATGGGCGACCGAGGGGAGGTTGACCCCGTCATCGGCCGACAGCGCGCCAGCTCGGAAATAGACGGACTGGTGGCGTCATCGCGACCTTCGCCTGTCGACAGTAGTGAGCCGTGGGTCATTGGGCGCCCCCTCCCTCCAGGGGGAGGGAGTCTGAATCACCGGCGCCAGGGGAGGGGAAGGGAGGGGCGCGTTGAGCTGTCACAGCCGCCTCTACGGGCCACTCGGGGCTTCTGACACGGCTGTGACGTGACGACGGCAGCGCGGTGACGTGACAGTGACCTGTCACCTTCCGGTCGAGAGCGGGGGAGGGCGGAAAGGGCAGGACCCGTTGGCACAGGTATCGCTCCATTAGCTATCGCTCCATTAGCGCTGGAAATGGCGCACCCGGTTCACAGCGCCCGATTTGTGGAGACCGTGACGAGCGCAGTAACAACAGGATCAATGCAGCGACAGCGCTTATGCGTTTCTTGCCTAGGTAAGCTGGCTTGAGCGATATTTATGCCGGCTTAATGCGACTGCTGCAGGTCCTTTTAACGTCGTCAAGCATTTTGCATTATATGATTCAGCATTGGACGGCTGGATAAATTGCTGGATTATGTGTAAGCCGCGCTGTGTCGCGGCTCAGGTTCGGGCTCTGTGCCGCCGCTCGGGTTGGCTGCGTGACTGCACCAGTCGCCGCTGTGACCGCTGATCGTCCGTGCCCAGTTCTCAACGGGCTGCGTGCGCTCGTCCCCACAGCACCCACCTCAGAGCGGCACTGGGTCACGGGGGCCACCCGACACCGCCGGGCCGACCGTCGGCCGCTCCGCCCTCCCACGGGTGTCCCGTATCACAGCGGTCGTCCCTATCAGAGCCCGGCTGGGTGGTCGGCGCGAGCAGCCTCCATTCAGCGGAGAGCGATCGGCGTACGGCCGGCCGGGTGTCGATCCTGAGCCCCCCGAGGCCCCCTCAGCCGTGTTTATACGCGCGTCTGGCCGGCGCAGGACGGTGTCGCGCCTCGCCTATTTACCTTTCGTTGGACGAGTTTATGGGAGCCGACGGGCCGACCGGGCGTGCGCCGCGCTCGACGGCCGCCGTCGAATTATGTCCGTCCGTCCGTCCGTCCGTCCGTCCGGATTGGAGCTCGGCCGCGGTCAGCCAAGGTCACCGCCGGCCTGCCGGTCGGCTTAGGTGTTGGCAGTGGCACACAATGAGCCCAGTGTCAACAGGCTTATGGGACGGCTGCTTTAGCGGGGGCTCTTTACAGGCTTGTAGAACGCTCGTGCAAATACGATGATTGTGTTTTTATTTGTGTGGAACGGGGAATGTTTGCTTTGTTCTGTTGCTGAGAATTGGCTGCCTGAACGACCAGTTTTTAGACGTTTTTATGGATAATCAGTTTTGACCACTTTACGTCATTGGCTGTGGTGGTTTTTGCTTCCTTCGGCCATATTAAGCAAACCAACCGAGCTGTCTTTGTATCCTTTTTGCTCAACAAAAAAGCTTTGTCGTGCGGAAAAAGTGGCCTATGTATGGATAAACAGTGGGCGTAGCACCACTCGCTTTCCATACTGGTGCTACCATTACCACATTCTTCCCACACCCTGTGATGGACATTCACGCAAGCCGTGTAGGCGCTGGCCGTGAACCTGGTGACGTCTGACATCAGGGGGCCCATCACTGACGCGCCCTGACATCTGTTTCAGACTGGCAGCCGCCGCCATGACCCGGCCGCCTGCTATCCTGGTGCTGCTCCTCCTGCTGCTGCCGCTGCCGCCCTCCTCTGCCAGCTTCATCGTCCACGAGTTCAGCGATGAGTTCGCCACGGAACGCTTCAACCACATGGTCGTGGACGAGAACAAGGGCCGCGTGTACGTGGGCGCCGTGAACCGACTCTACCAGCTCAGTCCCGACCTCGACCTCATGATCGCCGTCAAGACCGGACCCGAAGACGACGACCCCGAGTGTTCACCGGCCAAAGAGTGTCCGGCCAACGTGGTGAAGCGGCCGACGGACAACGTGAACAAGGCTCTGGTAATTGACCGTTCTCACGGCACGCTGATCGTGTGCGGCTCGCTGTTCCAGGGCCGCTGTCAGGTGCGCAACCTCCACAACATCAGCACAGTAGAGAGCGAGGCTGAGGAGGCCGTGGTGGCCAACAACGAGACGGCCTCGACGGTGGCGTTCATCGCGCCCGGGCCGCCCAACCCGCCGCAGACGCACGTCCTCTACGTGGGGGTCACCTACACCGGCGGCACCCGCGCGCCCTATCGTAACGAGGTGCCGGCCGTGGCCAGTCGCTCGCTGGACCCGCAGCGCATGTTCAGCATCTCTGAACTGGCCGTCACCACCGGCACCCGCATGTCCATCAACTCGCTGGCCCGGGAGCGCTACTACATCAACTACGTGTACGGCTTCGGCTCGGAGGGCTTCAGCTACTTCCTGACCACGCAGATGGAGCGGAGCAACGAGGTGACGCCGTACATCTCGAAGCTGGTGCGCGTGTGTCAGGACGACCCGCACTACTACTCCTACACGGAGATCCCGATCGAGTGTATTGACCCTGCCGGCATCCGCTACAACCTGGCGCAGGCGGCCTACGTGGGGCCGGCCGGACCGAACCTGGCCAGCCGGCTGCGCATCCGACCGGACGCCGACGTCCTCTACGCCGTGTTCGCCGCCAGTGAGAAACGTGACGGAGAGAGCTCCAACAAACCCACGCGAAACTCGGCACTGTGTGTGTACTCGCTCAAAGATATCCGCCGAAAGTTTACACAAAACATAATCGAGTGTTATAACGGCAGTGCGGACCGTGGCTTGGAGTTCATCTCTCCTGGAAAGAAGTGCGTCTCTACGGTGAGTACCTATTGCCCGCTGCATCGCGTGGCCCCCGTACCCTGTACCCTCTATCTATCGTGTGGCCCTCAATGCCATGTACCCTCTGTCTGTCGCGTGGCCCCTCTGGCCACCAGCACGGCTCTCCCTCCGTTTCCCTTTGTGTGAGTGCGGTGCGCTGTGAGTTTTTGTGTCTGCGGTAACGACACCTGGCCGCCGGTAATGACCGGCGCTGTCGTCGGTCGTAAAAATCATCGAGCCGGCGCTGAGCACCTCTCGAAGCGAGAGCTGCGCGTGGCGCCCCTCCGGCTCCGCCTCAAGGCTCGCGATTCGCTCTATCTGCTACACACAGACCGCATCATAACGTCACTCTAAAATAACTCTGAAATCACCGTAACTTCACTGGAACATCACTGTGACGCGGCTGAGTGTCTGACGTTCCTGGAGCGTCTCGCTGGGTTCGTCGACTCTCAGCCCGTTCGCGCTCCGCGGTGACGGACGCCACCGTTAGCTCGTCCTAACGATCGCAGCGGCGCTGTGGCTGCCTGGCTCGACAGCCGTCCCCTCGCCGCTGTCGGGACGCTCTGTCGGCGTCGACGAGTCCATCTCCCGTTAGCGTCACCCCTGCTAACCCCGGGTAACCCCTGCAGGGGTGTGTGCACACCCCGCTCGCCGGTCCGGCTGATGACGTGATATTGATTTCCGTCCGATCGGCGGCACTAATCTGGTGCGGTGTGAATGAGCGGCGCCGCGACCGGCACGCTACTGGACGGGACGGGACGGGAGCGGCAGCGGCGGCAGCAAAAGGGTGGCCGACCGCCCGCCTCCGACCGCGCCGCCACCGTCAGAACTGGCTGACGAATGGACGCGTTTGAGCCGCCGCCGCGGGACCAATTCGTTTTGTTTCCGGAGACGTGGATGGATGGCGGTCGACGGAACCGCTCCGTCGTACGATCCTCGGCCCGTTCCGCCGCCCGTTCCGCCGGTCCGTTCCGCCGCTCTAGAAGGTTGGGAGAGGCTGCTCCTCAGTGTGAGCGGTTTCGGCGTTTACTCGTGGCGGCTAGGGTGTGGCGTACACACGGCGGCGGGCTGCGTGTGTGTGTTGTGGGGTCGCCGCCGAGCGGGTGTCGCGATCAGTATCCAATGGCCATTGATTGGGCAGGTGCCGGCCCTCAGCCAAACACGCTGTGATGGAGGGTCGCCCATTGATTACCTGGCGTCCCGGGGAGGAGGAGGGAGGAGGGGGGGGGGATCGGGAAGTGGTCGGATCGGCGGTCCTCTGGCTTCGCCGGCCGCTCGGATTGTCGGCAGGCGGAGCTCCCTACCCGCGGCGTGTCGGGCGGCGTTCGTGTCTGCCCGGCGCGGGGATTTAGATGATAGGCTCAGATGGCCGCCGTGAACTGTGACAGGCCGACAAGCGATGGAGCGATTACTCCAGTGGTGATAATGCACCATGGATTACACGGCCAGCCATATCGGGACATCGGCCGTCCTCGATCTGATCAGAACGACGCGACAAAATGCCCCGTGTCATGAATATCACGCGTTCTTTTGGCGCCTGTTCGTGTGATCGTGCGGCGGGCCGGGCCGAGCGGGCGCGGTTTCTCGGAGAACTGAACCCGCGGTGGGCTGGAAAGAACGGCCGGCCGGTAGTGTCTCGGCGACAAATGGCTGACTGCATTAGTGTGATCACCCGGTTTCCGGACGACTGATTTCCTACTACCTCTCATTGTCTCTAAACTGGTCCCACGACCTGGTTTCCGCGCTCTCAGGCAAAAGAAGGGCCTCGCTCAAAATTCCTCCAAGCCATCGCGGTGGTGACACTTGCCTTTTTATCACCGTAAACGAGTTGTCACCGAATGAAAGAGAGCCGAAATGCTTGATTAAAAGATGGCCAGCCGGCAAAGGAGCCGTTTATTTCCAACTTTGAGGCCGGCCTCAATGAGGGTCGTTTGAGAGAGCACTGCCATCCGACTGGGGGTGCTGATAAGTCGCTCGGCACCATATTGGACCACGAGGCCAAACTCTGGACTCCGCCGGCAGCCTCTTTGGAGTTAAAGGACGGGGCTGGAGGCGTGGGGACCGGGCGTGACGCCGAACCGTTCGGACATTCTCAGAATGGCGCCGTGGTGCCCACGCGATGGTCTGCCGCGACCGTTGGCTAGACGTCCAAAGTTCACGCCTCACGAACTGTCAAAGGGTGTATGACGACCGACTTTTTGAAGTCTGTAAGTGCTGCGTCTTTGGCCCTCCCATTTCTAATCTCGGTCACTTCAGCCGTCAACAGCCCCTTGCAGCCTCCTCAGTAGCTGGTCCACGCGGCGAACGAGGGCGCGAGGGCGTCTGTTGACGCTGCTACTGCTGCCTTTTTGCGGCACCGCCGCCGGTGGCACCGCCCCCTCGACGTGCCGGGCTCAGCGCCACGTCGGCGTTTTCGAACTCGATCCGGTTTTTCTAATGACTGCCGACCGGCCGGCCGCCCGGCCAGCTCTTCGATCGATAGTTGGGCGAAAGACAGACAGACTGGGGCGGATGTATGTAGTGGACGCCGCGATTGCCTCGGCTGTCTCTGCGGCCGGCTCTGCAGCGTCCGAGCGGCGTCTGAGCGGCGCCAGGCCGGCAGGAACTCGGGAAAGTGCCGCCGGTCAGCCGGCCCGATTTACCTCCGGACGACTAACGGACGGCGTCGTCTGGACCGTGACAGTCACTGACTCGGCGTCCGATCTCGGGACGGCGGAGAGACCGCCGCGATACGGACCGTCACGGACCGTGACAGCCGTCACGGACTGTGATAGCCGTCACGGTGTCAGACATCAATCACTTCATTGTAGTCGAGTGTTTTCACGCCCGTGCAACAGATGGAAAAAGCGGCTACGCGAAGCCTGGTAGTCGAGACGCGTCTGCAACGCCGTTGTCGCGGCGCAAGGCATGACGTCGACCTTGTAACGGTGTTAAAACTGCCCCACCCTCCCCCGCCCGCCCCACCCCACCCGGTCTGGACCAGTCTCCGCGCGGCCAGCAGGCTGCAGTGTCGCAACGCGGCCCGCAGCGGCCGACGCCGATGGCTGTCGCACCCGCTTGCCACCCATCATCCAACCCAGTTACCCCGCCGGCGTCCCCGGCTGGCCGGGCCGATCGGGCTTATGGGCCGACGTAAATCGATTAACGACCGTTTCGTCATTTTATGGCCGGTTAACCTTTTTCTGGGTTGACGGGTCTGCTTTTGCATATTAGAAACATTTTTACTTCATTATCGTACACAGACTGTGAATGCTAATTTGAGTTGACGTGGGCTCTTTTGTGTTTGAAGAGGTTTCAGCTTCAGTTGCTGCGCCTGCATTGATGTAATAATGTCGATAATAAAGGGAAATAACTAGATATTGGACGCTGACGCAGCCATTCAGCCGTTTGTGGGTAGGCGAATCGCCTAGGGAAACCCTTTTCAAGTTGTATGCAGCCTCCTGCTTTGATTCTCTCCTCCCCCGGCTAAAAGGAAATTGCTAATCAGCCCGGGAGATCTGTAGTGCTTCGCCGGAAATCAAAACCTGCTCGATTCCGCCCGCGGCCTACCTGTGTGCGGCTGCCACTCGAGGGCCGAAGGCTGAGAGCGAGGGGCTGCGGCGGAAAGGATGGCTGTACTGGAAGGGCGTGCCGTTCACTATTTCTCTCAAATTGGTGTAGGTACGGTCCAGACGAATGAGCTCAGTGCAGTCTCTTCACCTTTGGTGCTGAGGATACCGGGAGGGTTTGCGTGGTTTGGATGGAGAGTTGAGAAACTAAAGGTTGTTGAAAAAAACGAAAACATGTTCAGCATGGTTTCAGACCACAATGCGACCAGAAGCCAGCCTCAGAGAACTTATCCGGCTTAAGAAAACGGCGTGACTGACCCCGGCGTCACGTTGTGCCTGTCGCCTTCCTGCCCCGCCTCTCCCTTCCTTCCAGTATTCCGGAGGGCGGCCACTGCTCCGGCGCTGCTGACTGGCCCCAGCTCAGTACTGCTCCGTGCTCAGCGCCGCTCAGCACCGCTCCTTGCTCAGCACCGCTCGGCGCTCTGCGCCGCGCAGCTGTTATTCGGCGGCGGCCGCCGCACCCCGTCCGCCGGGCCATGTCTCAGCGCCAACCGAGCGGCAAAAACGCCGGAGCGCGCCGGGCCCGGCCAATGCTGACGAGTGGGCCCATCGTCCACAAATTGCCGTCCTCTGATCCGCTCCGCCGGCGCCGGCGCCGCTTCCTGGCGCCGTTTTTCACGGCGAATGTTTGATTATCTGAGGCGCCCGATTTCCGCTCTCTCGGGTCGAAGGTCGGCGCCGGGGGCGGGTGAGCCGTGTCCTCTGACCGATCTCTCTTGTCTCTCAGTCTGTCCTCTCTCCGTTTCCCTCTCCCCCTGCCTGTTTTAGGTCATGCGTCGCGCTATGACATATCATCATTTTTCATCAATCGCTTACAGGGACGACCGTTTTCCTCGATTCAGGCGCTACAGACCTAACTCTGCCACCCCAACAAAGCCTCTGCCCTTCCCATCACCGGCTACTGCCGCATCCGCCTGGCGCGGTGGCCGGCACAGGACCGGTCACATGGCGCTGTGCTGTAGCGGTGGCGGCGGTCAAGTGATGGTGACACGGGACGGTGCAAGGTCACCGGAGGGGCACCTGAGCCGCGGTGGCGACGGCATTCCGCTCACGGTCGACTGAAGTTCCGCCGGGCGGACGAACGAGCGGAGCATGTGGACGGCCGCTCCGCCGACCCCCGGGTGGATCGGTCCAGCGCGGTGTGGATGGAGCGCATTCCTTGCTTCCGCATGGCGAATGTACACTCCGGCTGATAACTCACAATTTCGCGATCTCCTGCCGGCTAGACAGCGCCCAAAGCATCTCGCGACAGACTACTCTGTCGCTGGAGCTAAGTCCTCTTAGAATTCGTTCAAGTGTGCTTAGGGCCTGCTGAGCCGGCTTGTCTGTTCAGAGTTTGTTCAGGCTTTCAAGCCTGTCTGAAGAGCAATGCTGTCTCGTTTATTTGTTGTC